TTGGATTCTGTCTCAATAGTTTATGATTACACTTTCCAGCTACGTTTTAATGGATGACGTTTTCACCCAGAAGGCCGTCCAACATTGAAATGGGGGAGAAGCTGTAACAGCTGCTCTGCTGCAGCGGATTGCTGACGCACAATCAGCCTGCATCCCACGACGAGCAACACGACGACATGTGTGTGTTAGTTTCTTCTTCTTCCCCCCCCCTTGTCAGAGGGAACGATGGGCTCGTATTTTTAGATCAGAGCGGGGAAATGAAGCCCAGAGTCTGATTGTGCAGGCAAGCGCCTCTCCTGATGAGACGAGACGTCAAGCCGCCTCACTGAATAAAACAAAGCTCACTAAAGGTGACGCTTTGCTTGTGGGTTGAACTCCGACGGGAGGAGAGAGACGGCTCCGCTTTCTAAAAGGCGCTCGAAATCGAAAAGCAGGAGGACGCCGGCTACCTCGCGACGCTGGAGGCGCGACGAGCTTCTCCATCCATCCATGATGTTCATTTAGTGAACGATGGTCCATTTAGAGTCAAACAAGCAGGGGATGCTTGAGGGCGGGGCTTACTGTGATTGACAGGTGCAAGGCCTTTTGGTGGATTCTAGACGACAGACGCATCCTGGAACAGTTCTTCCTTGTTTTCACCAGACATCCGCGTGTGTTCAACGCGGCGTGCTTGTTTTGGTTCGCGCCCACTTCTCTCCAAAACGTCATCAATTCATCATTTCTTATCATTTTAGACATTTGCGTAAAAATTGTTACAATTTTGAACATTTTTTACAGTAAACGCTGTAAATATGAGTTTATGGTCTCAGTCTCTTTCAAGTCCTCTTCAATACAGCATGATGTTCAATTAGTGAATGATGGTCCATTAAGAATCAAACAAGCAGGGGATGCTTTAGGGCGGGGCTTACTGTGATTGACAGGTCTCTGCCAGAGACATATGAAGTATGTTCTGTTCACTGGTTGCAAAAAAACAAGCATCTTTGCTCACAACGTCTGCCTCATATTGAATATATGTATTTAACACAGTGGTTGGTGCGTTAGAATTGAAGCTTGTCAACTCACTGCTTTGCTTCTCATACTTATAAGTCTACACGGATTCATTAGGGAGATTTGAATTTGACCAATTTGACCAACAGCTTGACTCCCGATATTCAAAACATTCTGCAAAGTAACTTAATGACTAAGGACCTCAAAAGGCCTCTTCCGTCCTGACTGAGATAACTCCCTCCTGGCTTTTTTTTCTCCTTCCATTTCCACTTGGACCCCTGCTGCCCGATCATTCCCACCGGGACCCCCCTTACCCTCCCCCTCCCTCTCCCGCCCTCCCCCCTCTTCATTCCTGCCAACTCCATTTGTTTTCATCTCCCTCCAGGACCTGACCGCGCTGGTGGCCAACGGCACCATCAGCTCCAAGCCGCCGGTCACCCTGCGGCTGGTCATCCCTGCCAGCCAGTGTGGCTCCCTCATCGGGAAGGGAGGGGCCAAGATAAAGGAGATCAGAGAGGTGAGCAGCCGACCCACAGCAACTAAACGGTACACAGTAATGCCACGAACCGTTTGTGGGGGGCTTTACAATGAGAATAAAGCTCCAGGTAGCCGGACAGAAACAATAATTGATGTTAAAAAACGGAAATGATTATGGTTTCGCTAGAAGTTTAAGTAGGTCAAGAATATGAAGAGGAAGTTTATATAACCATCTATGAGGCTCGACTTCACGCTGCCCTCACAAAGTACTGTGTGTGCATTCAACTGGGACCTACGACACATTTTCTACCCATATTTAATGATGTATTTGATATTGCAGAACAAAACGCTGTTTTTAGCTTGTTGTAAACAAATGATTTCTCATCAAAAAAATACACTGACTTTGAGGCGATGAAATCGTAACTGCAAAAAAAACCTTTCTGGGTCATAAGACCAGAGCACTTTGTGAGCACAAACCACAGAAAACAGCAGCTGATTAAAATGAATTTTATTTTTGTAAGCATTTGATCATCAAGCATTGCTCAAAATACATTAGAAAAAAATCTGGCTCACCGATGTGATTTTGATTCACCCTCGCTGATCAGACACTGATCTTCATGTCCACCCATCAAATAGTTGCTGATGTGTTTACGTCTGGACCAAAGCGATGTCATCTGCACTCACAGGTAGGACGGCACCATCAGCAATATGGATTTAGGCCATTAAGGCAGGAAACTAGTGAGACAACGCCGTCCTGATGGATCACTTAACCCAACAAACATTATGACTCAGCACGTGGCCACTTTAAAATGGGGAAAAACTCCAGACCACATTTAGCTCCAGTTGAAAAACAACGGGATCAAGAAAGGCATCAGATCTGCTGCCAGAGACGATTGACACCATAACTCGGGCTCTGTACCGACCCACAAATAGCATCTCTTTCATTTTACCTTCACCGGCCGGCGGCCTGCAGCTGATTTTTCTGCGGTTAGGCAGATTTTTTCTAGCCGTGTTTATCCCCCAAATTTGTTTCGGTTGCAGATTTGTTTTGCTTTGTTTGGTTGCCACAGGACACATGCTGACTTACAGAAGCATTTTGTGATGCGCGACGTTCCACAGTGGCTTAAAAAAAACAAAACCTGCAGTCTGATAGAGTCATCCGCTCGAATCTTTAAAAGCAGCCCTCCTGGCCCGCAGTCGTGCTTTATTTAGAATATATCAGATTAAATCGGGAGAGATGAGTCAGCTGACCATGGGGGGGGCTTTTCATTTATCTGTAACCTGTGGGGGGCCTGACGTTAAACACACCACAGTACGTCAGTACAGGTCGTGAAAAAGTAAAAAAGGTCAGGGAGGCACGTAGAAGAGAAGAGCAATAAGGACTCCCCCATCTCCGGAACTAATCTTTTCCTCTTACCCCCTCCCCCCGCCCCCCAAATCTCCCCTATCATTGGCAGAGCACCGGAGCTCAGATACAGGTGGCGGGGGATTTGCTGCCCAACTCCACCGAGCGAGGGGTGACGATATCTGGGAATCAGGAGTCAGTAATCCAGTGCGTCAGGCTCATCTGCACGGTGATCTTGGAGGTATGAAGGAGCGCGATTCCCCTCCCCCCCGACGGTTGTCGCCGCTCTGCAGATGCATGATGGGAGTTTTTCGTTGTGGACGTGCACGTCTTCATTTCAACAGTGTGCACTTTTTTTTGTCTCTCTCTCTCTGTAGGGGCAGTCAATGCATGTTGAGCGTCCGCGGCATCATTTTGACCTCATTTAAATCTTTAAATGTTTTTGGTACTCTACGACGACTTAAAGACTTTGGTACGAGTCAAAGACTCTACGACGACTTAAAGACTTTGGTACGAGTCAAAGACTTTGGTACGAGTCAAAGACTCTACGACGACTTAAAGACTTTGGTACGAGTCAAAGACTCTACGACGACTTAAAGACTTTGGTACGAGTCAAAGACTCTACGACGACTTAAAGACTTTGGTACGAGTCAAAGACTCTACGACGACGTAAAGACTTTGGTACGAGTCAAAGACTTTGGTACGAGTCAAAGACTCTACGACGACTTAAAGACTTTGGTACGAGTCAAAGACTCTACGACGACTTAAAGATTTTGGTACGAGTCAAAGACTCTACGACGACTTAAAAGACTTTTGTACGAGTCAAAGATCCTACGACAACTTAAAGACTTTGGTACGAGTCAAAGACTCTACGACGACTTAACGACTTTTGGTATGAGTCAAAGACTTTGGTTACGAGTCAAAGACTCTACGACGACTTAAAGACTTTTGTACGAGTCAAAGACTCTACGACAACTTAAAGACTTTGGTACGAGTCAAAGACTCTACGACGACTTAACGACTTTGGTATGAGTCAAAGACTTTGGTACGAGTCAAAGACTCTACGACGACTTAAATACTTTTGTACGAGTCAAAGACTCTACGACGACTTAAAGACTTTTGTACGAGTCAAAGACTCCACGACGACTTAAATACTTTTGTACGAGCCAAAGTCTCTACGACGACTTAAAGACTTTTGTACGAGTCAAAGACTCTACGACGACTTAAAGACTTTGGTACGAGTCAAAGACTCTACGACGACTTAAAGACTTTGGTACGAGTCAAAGACTCTACGACGACTTAAAGATTTTGGTACGAGTCAAAGACTCTACGACGACTTAAAGACTTTGGTACGAGTCAAAGACTCTACGACGACTTAAAGACTTTGGTACGAGTCAAAGGAAAAAAAAATGGGGTCAGAGCTCCTTGTTGTTGGGACACTGAGCTGCTTACAGAAAACACACTGGCCTGCAGCTAATACCGTCCACCTTCACACAACAACTCTCTTGAGAAAATGAAGGATGGGATGAGAGGAAAAAAAAGAAAAAAACAACCCCGAGCACAGTTTCTCCCTGTGTGTTCACAGATGTACACAAGTCCTTTTTGTGTTGGCGACGCAGCTGGACCTGACTGACTAATTGCTAGTTTGATCCAGTTTTCCAGGGCTTTCTTCAAAGGCTCGCGAGTTTCATTAGGATTCCGTACCACCGGCTTCTCGCTTTCGGCTCCCAGATTTAAATTATGCAAAGTTATACAAAGAATTTGCTGTTCCTTGCTCCCGCAGAAAAAGATGCTCCACATTCCGAGAGCTTAAACTGTATCGCCGCCGTTGCAGTTGCTCGATAAGATACACGTGTTGTGTACTCGGGATAATCTCCTTTCCTCGTGGTGTTTGAAGAATTTTTATCTTCAAATGGCTCATGTCAGTGGATGCTTGATTCACCCAGAGGGCAAACAACTGCAGCTCCGAGCTTCGACCAACAAGGAGCTCCCACTGCAGCGCTTCAATAACTCAACGAATGACTCACGTTATCAAAAGGAAAAGAAGGAAGGAAGAATGTCCGTGTCATTAGCAGTTTGGTTCATCATTAAGTGTTCTTGTATCTTAATGAGTTGTACACACGTGTTTGACGAGTGAAGTTTATGCACGTCTGAGAGATCAATGATGAGATTTGTTTCAGCCTTTTGTCCGGTTTTGTTTTTGACTACTCAGTCCCCCCCGAAGGGCGCCACCATCCCCTACCGCCCGAGCCCCTCCCCGGCCCTCCTCATCGCAGGCAACCAGGTGAGCGATTTCAACCACTCGTGTTCATGCGCGATGCACCGGGACAGCTCATTGTAATTCATTACAGAGCCGGAGAAGAGGGAAATATTATAAAACGTCTTGTCGGCGGCTGGTTCTTGGTAAAACAAACGTATTCATGGTGTTAGAGATAGAAGTTGTTCTGTGGATAAGTCATCAAAACGGTGGTATTGAAGCCTTTTTTGAAGCCATTTTTGAAACCAGGCGTTGGGAGCGATCATATTTGGACGTGTACGTCTCTCATAGCGACCTGCCATTCACAGGGAGCCCCGCCCCAAAGCAAACCCTGTATTGACTCTAAATGGAACATCATTTACTAAATGAACATCATGCTGCATTGAAGAAGACTTGGAACTATAGATTAAGACCATAAACTCCTGTTTACAATCTTTACTGAGGGAATAAATCAAGAGAGAAGTACAGTCATTTTCTCATAGACGTCTATGGGAGCAGAGGAGTCGCCCCCTGCTGGTCAGATTTAAGGCACTTTAGTATCGGCTTCATCAGAGATTGCCACACGCTTACAAATTTAACGACATTTTTGTCAGAACTACGAATGTCAACCTCGTAGTCCGTGGAGGTAATGGGGCGGGCGGGTGTGGGTGTGTCGCAGGATTAGCGAGCGTTCCCGGAGGCCTTCCGTCTCCTCCGGCCCACTGCGGCAGCGGGTTCAGCGACGGGTCAATTCATGGGATGGCTTTGTGTTTTTGATATTACCCGTAATAAGCTATCAAATTAAAACCGCGGCGAGTGTCCCGGTCACCGGGAGATGACTTTTGATGAAGAAGCCACGGCGATAAGGGATGTTTGTGGGATTTGTCGGGGGAGAAAATGGGCCCAGGATGAGTCATGGTCCATAAGCCTGTTAGGTGGGATGAAGTGTCAGAAGTGAAGCCCGTGGCAGACCGAACGTGATCTGCAGCGAGGGAGCAGGAAAAAGAACACTCACTGATCATCACTAAACATCCAGATGGTTCCGAGCAAAACTCTTGAGCTGAACATTTCTCCCCTCTGCGTGTTTTGCAGGTGTACGAGGCATCCGAATTTGCACCCCACCCGCTGTACTCCGTCACCCAGGGAGGCCTGGACCTCCAGCAGGTAACTGCACGTCCGTTAAGCCTGTGGATGATCTCCATTCTTGTGAATAGAAAAATACCTCCAGAACTGCATTGCAGCGGGCACGAATAGGTCTCAGGAAGGCGGGGGGGGGGGGGGGGGGGCATGAGGAGGGGGGGCGGGGGCGTTCTGTGATGATCTGAGGGTTCTGCGGTATGTCCAAATTTACACAGTCCATCATCTGGCCTGAGGCATTTAAAACAACAGCTGAGCGTTAGAGCCGCCGCTATTGTTCTGCCCGGTCTGCCCCCCCCCCCCACCTGAAACACGACGCCGCACCACCACCACCACCACCACCACCACAGTGGCTTTTTTTAGTCCTGCCTCGCTCTGCACCAGAAACCTTTTGGCTGGAGGAGTTTTCCTCCCATGACGGCATAAGCAGCTTCTGACAAATCAGCCCCAGATTGAGAAAAAATAGACAATAATGTGCTTGATGATATGAAAAGACTTCACGATTCCGATCACTCGTGCCGTGAAAGACAATCGCTACTAATTTGTGGTCGTTTTATTGTGCTGCTCTCCTGTAAACACGCAGCTCTTAATGCATCGAAGTTTGTGACCAGCTGAGCTGGACGGGTAACAGAAGCCAGACAGCCGCCGTCGGGCACAATTGAGTTAGAGTCGATGGACAGATGGACTGAAAATTAAGTTAAAGTGAGAAAAAAGGGGGGCTTAACATATGGAAGTCAACTTTACTCAAGATAATGGGGAGGGAGGAGGGGGGGGGGGATTTGGGGGAGACGATGCAGACGGAATTTAACAAATAATTTGGAAAACGAGTTTGTTGCAAATACAAAGAATGTGTTTGGCAATTTATGCATAATGAACACATTTCACTGCCCGTGTCTAATATGTGAGCGCCGTCCGGCCAGGAAAGGCTTCCCCCTTTTGACGAGGCCCAATGCGTGATCGATATTTTGAAACGTGAAGCAGTGGAGCCTTTTTAGGGAGGTGAAGCCGTTTGGGGTTTTATCAGGACGCTGCGGCTCACAGGAGCTGCCTCCGTGTCCGTGTTTCTATTTCTGAGGCGTGTGGATTTATTCGGCGCGGCGCTCTCGTTGAATCTTCTCTGTTTCATTCGCAATGCCCAAGTTCAATTCACCTTTATAGTTGAGTGGTGTCGGCATGAATAATCATTTTTAAAAATGGATATTTCAAAGCATCGGAGAAATAAAAAATAAAAAAAAAGACGTTCCTGCTTTGATGGAGGCCAAATCAGAGAGTGTGTGAAGCTGCAAACGCTCACTCACCCCAAAACAGCCACGCATTGAAAGTGAAGCACTCCCGCTAAGAGGCTGCAGATTTATCGCGTTGGTTGCCGTAACTCACCAGCTCCCTTCTCTCTCTTCGCAGGCCTACGCTCTGCAAAACCAATACGGCATTCCACACTCAGAGGTACGGCGAGCATCCGCCCTGCACCACCAGCAGTTTGTGGCTTCGGCGCAATGACCTCCGCTCTCTGTCTCCCTGCAGATGGCCAAGCTGCATCAGCTGTCGATGCAGCAGGGCCTGAGCCCCATGGCCCAGCAGCAGGCCTCGGCCATCATACCCGGTAAGGTGGGGGCGTCTTCACCTCCTCCACCCGTAACTGCATGTGTCGGTCGGGTGAGAGGGGGGGGGGGGGCGGAGGAGGAGTCAGAGGAGCCGGGGGGAACGGCGGCGAAGAACGAGCGCCGTGTTAAACACCGGTCTATTAAAATGGAAATGAACCGCTTTATTGTATCTAGCAGTCGAAGCCCCCCCCCCCCCCTCCCCTCCTCCTCTGGCATATCAGTGGCAGCTTGTGTGGCTTCGATGAGCAAAAACGAGCTGAATGGATATTTAAATGTCAGATGTGTCAATTTCACTCAGCGGATGCTCGTGTCTTCTCTCTCTGTCAGGGATGGACTCCAACACTCCGGCATCTCAGGAGCTGCTTATTCCCAATGATGTAAGAAGGAGCAACTTTACTTCTTTATTCTGCATGGGTTTTTTTTGTTGTCGCCCCCCCCACCCTACCTGCTCCCCCCCCAGCCTCCCTCGTCATCCTCGCTGCTTTAACCTCGCACTAACGCAAGGTTAAAAAGGTGATTCACCGCCGAGCTGGATCCCTTTTGCCGTTATTGGCCGGTGCTGCAGTTGCAGCGTCTCGGAGAGGCTCCCGTGGGTGCTCGGTAAATCCTCTCATGTTCCCTGACCTACTTAGAGGCTGTCTGCTGTCAAAACAGCCAATAAGGAGACAGACGAGGATCCTTCCCCTCCTCACTCAGCCCTCCGCCGGGGGTTTGATGAAACGTCTCCACAAATTCGCGGCAGAGATCACGGCGCGCAGATTCTCTTCTACGCGGCGGGCTTCGTTTCGCCTTCAGACGGCGGGCGCGTTCAGGGCGGCGTGGGCCGCGTGGATCGGCTTCTTAGGGCGTTTAATTTAGGAAAATGAGAGAGAAGGCGTTTCATCTGCAGCTCCTGTTGAATGAAAATAAAAACAGAAGTGGATTCCTCCATGAGGATGAAACAAACATGTTCTGAGAAGATCAATAACAACCGCTGACGAGGACGAAGATCTTTTACCAACGAGTAACGTTATGTTAAGGATCCTTTTTAAACCACAGCTGGGCGAGTAAATGATGCAGGTTTGTAATTATTTACAGCTGCAGGATGATTCACTCTAAATGAACCGCAGCAAAGGAAAGATGTCGCCCGGTGAGGACCGCCGGCTTCTCTCTGTTCTTTCGTCTCTTCATGGGGTTTAAAAACAGCTACAGCGTCTCTCAACATTTTTTCGGAATCCACTTTTATAAGTCGACAAACCCAATGCATCTCAATTTACAACAGGCTTAAGATCCGTCACTCACATCCTCTGCTTCATGTACCATTTGACTCCGTGGTACCACGTCAACGTACCCTCACAGTAAGAGACATTTACTCACAGACTTCTATGGGACCAGAGGAGTCGCCCCCTGGTGGTCAGCAGGGAGAATGCACGGCCGGCATTTGCGTCGCTTCTCAGTCGATGATAGAAGTCGGCTCGGATGATCGGCTGAATCAGAGCGTTCACTTCCCCCATGTGGCCCAAAGTTGTACTCCAGAAATAAACGTTAAGCAGAACAATTCATTGATCTGAAAGGATCCGGTCAAACGCGCTGTTGGAAAACACACTTCACCCTTCAACCATCGGAAAGAGGAAACGTTCCAGACGGTGGAAAGAATTCGTCTGGTGTCATCCGCCATTGGAGGCGTCATAGTCCGTGACGTGTTTAGAATATTCTATGTAGAGTGTATAGAATACACAGCCACAATGTCAGCAGCATTTCTCAAATGCCAGACGGCTTTTTTAACACGAGAATGGCACAATGCGTGGCCGGAGTGAGTCACGTGACAGGGACAGCTGTGAGCTCCGGCTCCATTGTTCCAGAAGAGAGAACTTACAGCCACGACTGAGCCTCCTCAACCCCCCCCCACCTGCCCCCCCTCTGCCCCCCCCCCCCCCCCCAGGCCAACAACACAATCCACACACGCAGACAACCTGCTTACACACGGTCAGCAGGATGCGCTGCGCGTCTTGCGCGACGAGGATTTAGCCGGAAGAAATAATGGCCGGGCCGCCCCCGACGCCATCGCGCCCCCACTTCCTGCGTGTCCTCTGAGAGGCCTCGGCAGGGGGTCCGGGGACGCAGCAGGCATACCTGCAGTGACTCCTGTGTCGCTCATTTAGATCGGGTTGTCTTTTGAAGAGGTTGTTATGAGAGGAATGTCGTTGTCTAAGGTCGTGCACACCACAAAGAGTGCATGGTGGGGGGGGTTTGGGGAGGGGGGGGTGTTGACAGCTGGTGTCTATTGACAGCTGGCGTGACAGAGGCCAGAGTCCTCTGGTGAGTCTTATGTGTCAGTGGACGGGACACGTTATCTGTGATGTGAGGTCTGAAGTGGCCATTGTCTCTGGAGTTCTTTGGGCTGCTGTGTGTGTGTGTGTGTGTGTGTGTGTGTGTGTGTCTGTGTGTGTGTGTGTCTGTGTGTGTGTGTGTGTGTCCAAGACCCCCAAGTACACTCTTGTACCAATAATAGCCAAGCGGAGAGACCAGGTCGCCGTGTGACAAATCAGAGACAGTAGGACAGGCTGCTTACTTCCCAGGAAAGGAATGTTCAGTACGGTGTGTGTGTGTGTGTGTGTGTGTGTGTGTGTGTGTGAGTGTGTGTGTGAGTGTGTGTGTGTGTGTGCGTTTCCTACCCATGCGTCATCCGCCGTTAAGCTGCCAACACACACGCATACTACAAGTGCTTCATCACTGTCTGTCTCACTCACTATATATCTGGCAGCAGAACCCCGTCGCCCTGCACTTGAGCTGATATGCAGCCCCCCCCCCCCCCCCCCCCGTGCCCCTTCGTGCCCCCCCGTGCCCCCCCGTGCCCCCCCGTGCCTCCCCTCTCACCCCCAAGCGGCTTTCGGGGTGGGACTTTATCGTTGCTAATATGCCGATGGTCCAATGGAAGCATGAACAATAGTGATAATGTATTTTAGAAAGCAATAAAAAAAAAAAAAAATCCTGCCATTGTCGAACCCACTCTCTGTGAGGGGGGGGGAGATGCGGGGGGGGGGGGGGGAGGAGGGGGGGCAACGAGACTGTACCGTCATGGACTTGAGTTATTTTCCCCATTATGTTTTCCATTAGTGCGGAGATGCATCTAGCTGGCGCGGGTTTGGGAAGTGATTTGTTTGGGAAGTCATCACCGCTCCGAGGAATCAATAACCTTTTAGCCACTCAGATTAATGAGAGGCAAATGCGCCCCCCACCCCCCACCCCCCCACCCCCTCTCTCCCACCGGCGCACACGCGGCAGCAATTAAGGGAGACTTGGGGGCTTTTGACGTGCATGATGGATGGACAATCCACTGGAGGCAATGTAAGTGCGACATTCAGCACCGCGCGCTTTCCTTTTATTGCTCCAGTCTTTTTCTTCTGGATCACTTGAAACCAACACTGAGACGAGACGCCGATGACTGATCGAACCTCCCCCCCTCCCCTCCCCTCCCCTCCCCTCCCCTCCCCCAGCTGATCGGTTCGATCATCGGCCGCCAGGGCACCAAGATCAACGAGATCCGGCAGGTGTCCGGAGCTCAGATCAAGATCGGCAGCCAGCTGGACGGCACGAGCGACCGTCACGTCACCATCACGGGGACGCCGGTCAGCATCAACCTGGCGCAGTACCTCATTACCTCCTGGTAAGGCCGGGTCACGACCCCCCCTCCCCGCGTACAGGCCTCAAACAAAAAGGGTGGAAGGGGCGATAAGGGGGAGGCCGCAGTGCTGGAGGGTAAATCAGTGTTAGTTTAGTAATTATCTTTTCTCAATACGGCAACAAGAGGAAACGTCAGAGTGAATCATTTGCCCCCCCGGGGGCATTAAAGTAGTTTGTTCCAAGTTGTTGTTTTTATATTTGACAAAACACAGAAAATAAATAGAAACAGCAATGGACACAAACGTCGGGGCAATAGTTAAAAAATGTCAGCTTTTGATTATTATGCACAACTTTGATTTATCTCATTTACAAAATGTGCAGCAAAAGAGAGACTTCAAAAGCAGAAGGACGGGGAAAATATCCTACTGTGTTTGTTTATTTATTTTATTATTCATATCTTTAATTTCCTAAATAATTTTCCTTTTGTTTCGCTTTGAGCACCTGGCCCCCCAAATGTCTGTGCACGTGCCTGGCAGGTGACACTGGCGGGTGCGTTCGATTTGGGTCACTTAGCTGCCCTCCGGCTGCAGCGTTAATATTGTATATACAGTAATTAAGATCTATGTGAGTTTGTTAAGTAAAGACCAGCAGCGGTGGAGGACGTAATCTGGTGTTTTACTAAGGTAGAAGTAGGCTACAGTGTAGAAATACCCTGTTAGATAGTACTGCATTCATAATCCTACTTAAGTAAAAGGACAAAAGTATCAGCATCAACTAAGTACCAAAAATGTAAAAGCCGCCAATCATTGAAGCAGAAGGGTTTATTTTGGAATCCTCATATTATTGGATATTGGTGATCAATCACTTTAATGTTGCAGATGTTTTAAGTGGATTTAAGTGAAATGCAATGACCTCAGAATTGTGATATATTTTCAGAATCAAACTTTAATAATTATTTTAATAATAATGAGACTGTGAGAGAATGTCCGTTGTTCCTTGCACCTCTGATTATTTTGGAATATAATAATAATAATACATGTTTAATCGCACAAACAGAAGTTTCTGAAAATCAGTTCTTGACTATCAAGTCGATACAAAAGGATGCAGACGGACCAGCGAGGTCGAGTAACATCAATGAAGGCGCTTTATGAGGCTTCACACCACGTTTAAAGCAAATCGGTGGCGTTCTCAGGAGGAATATTCCCGCCTCTTCTCCCGGTGCAGCGACAGAGTAACCCTCCTCTCTTCCTTCCCCTCGTTCCCTCACAGTTTAGAGACCGCCAAATCCACGGCCCAGGCCGCCGCCACCATGGCGGCTCCGGTCGACCTCAACATGGCCTTCGCCCAGCAGTCCTCCCCGGCCGCCTCCCCCGCACCCACCCTGGCCACCATGGGCGCCCTGAGCCAGGCCCACATGCTGGGCAACCCGTACGGCGCCATGCCCCTCTCGGGCCTGCTGGGGGTGAAGTCCGTCCCCTTTCTGACTCTGTCCGGCGCCGGCGTGGCCGTCACGGCGGCGCCGTCCCACACCAGCCTGGCCGCCTACACCGCCAAAATCTCCTCAGCCAACTGCATCAAGAAGCCAGAGAGGCAGAAGTTTGCTCCGTACTGACGGGCCGCGGGCGGGTGGGTGCGGGGGACGGGACGGGGGGGGGGCGTGAGGGTCGGATGATGACGGACAGCTGCGTAGGTATAAAAAAAAACAACAACCAGTAGCCATATTCTTGACTTTTTATTCCACGACGAACCAACAGAGAAGAGACCAATGGAGACGTGGACAAAGCTGTTAAAACCTTATTTACGGTTCTGGATCATTTGTTCCCCATGAATTGATGGACCGCTTTCAACGTCACCTCATCACTGTTATTGATCACGAAAAACAAGAGAAAAAAAAATGGAAAAAGTTGTGGCTGGAGCCTCACCTGAGGAGCACACGTTTAAATCACAGAGTTCACGTGTGCATCTCGAGTTATGGATCGGCTCTAAGTATTTATCCTTCAATAAATTTGTAAATTATACTCAGATGACGAATACTCGACTGTATGATGCTTTTATACAATGTCTATGTTTGCCTCTTGGAAGTTTTTAAGAACATTTTTAAACGTCTCGGGGAGAGGAGGGGGTTTGTTTTTGTAATAATCCGTGCTCTGGTTCTGTGCTTTACTGTTCAGTGTTATGTTGGATTTCATTTTGAATGTGCAACTTGTTTAATCTTTATTTATTAGAATTGTTTCCTCCATTAAAAATATTTGTTTCCTGATGTATTTGTCTTCTCCTTTAACATATTTATATGTCTCTTTTTATCTGGTCGGCTCGCTTCACGGGCATTTCAACAGCAGTTTGAACCGATTCCCAGTCAGATTAAAGCGCACACCCAGCAGGGGGCGCTGCACGCGGAGGGCAACTGAAATAAAGGAGAGCGCCTCACGGTCACTGCGTCAGCATGCAGCACAGCAGCATCGGCCTGTGGAGGAGCCTTTCATCCCCTCCTCTGCTTCTCTTTTCTGCGTCATGGAAATGCCAAACACGCAGAGAGCCCCCACCCTCCACCCGCCATCCTCCACCCTCCACCCGCCACAAGACGTCTGAGGAAAACAGGCACGGTGGTAATCAGCTGGAGTCCAACAAGTAGCCACAGCATGCATCCCTCCACACACGCATACGTGTATATATAGGTAAATAAATATAAATAGCCTTCAGTACATCTAATTAAATAAACAGATGCTTGGAGATCATATCGTCTTATTGTGCTTTGATGAGGACTTGAATGCAACGATATCAAACTTGTGATTTTGTGTCCTGGCTGCAGGAACTTCTAAGTGGGTCACTTGCGCCACCTGCAGGCCGCGCGTCACCTGCAGGCCGCGCGTCACCTGCAGGCCGCGAGTCACCTAAAGGCCGCGAGTCACCTGCAGGCCGCGAGTCACCTGCAGGCCGCGAGTCACCTGTAGGCCGCGAGTCACCTGCAGGCCGCGAGTCACCTGCAGGCCGCGAGTCACCTGTAGGCCGCGAGTCACCTGCAGGCCGCGAGTCACCTGTAGGCCGCGCGTCACCTGCAGGCCACCGTCTCCTTCACTCTCTGTGAACAAATATACTTAAACTGCAGCTGGATGATCAAATATCAAAGGGTGGAACAAAACATGCTGTATTTGAATGTCAGAGAACTCGAGCCAGCGGTCACTGCGGGAGACGAGGCTTCCTGGACCAAGGGGCTGTTTCAACATGCTCACACACACACACACACACACACACACTCATATATTTTATAAAGAAGTTATAATTGAACATGCATATTGTTATATTTAGAAACCAAATACTTTTGGTACGTTAAATTGTGAAAACCAACCCCAAATAGATCCTTATAAATGAGTAATCGTCCTCTTTCAGTAAAACACACACACACACACACACACACACAGCATTGGTCCCCACTCGGCTGCAGCGTGAGTCGCCGCGAGGCCGGCGTCCTCTACGCCGCTCCACCAATCCCAGCCCAGCACGAGGTCGACAGGACGCGTTGGCGCTGATAAAAGATTGTCTTTAATGTTTGGCATCGTTAATGAATTCCGTACCACAGCAGTTATGGGAGTAGGAAAACCACTTTTACAACCAAACACAGTTTGATCATGCTAACACCGTATGTACAGGAAAGCACATTGAAAAGTGTATAAAGTATTTATATGAGAAGACTCAAAGTCGAGACACGGTCTAATGGATTTGTCCTTTTTCAAACACTGATTATAGATATTTATCAATTACACTGATCTCTGGAGTACACGTATATACACAAAACGACAATAAACCTTTTTCGGGGGGCGTCTGCGATAATTCTCAAAAATATTTCACAATACTGCTGTATGTACAATAACAGAATTTACATTGAGAAATTCTATTATACGTATATTCCGAGCACGGCTCCATCGCCAGTTATCCACCCGTGTGACGACGTGCAAAGCAGAACCCTCCGAAAGACGTCCACACAACCGATGATCGCACATTACAAAAATAGATGTTGTCCACTCGGCTGACAACGTGATGTACAGTAACACAAAGCATCCACCTGCGGAGAGAAAAAACAAACCCCCAAACTAAACAACAAAAACAGCAGAACAGAAAACAACCAGGAAAACGAGTCATTGTTAAAATATTAGCTATATCCTTCCGACCCGCCGCCGCCGCGCCGCAGTAAACGCTCTCCCTCAGAAACACGTGGTCGGCGCTCCGAGGAGGGAGGAGAGCGGCAGACGTCAGCGCTACGAACCCAACAACGGCCTGAAACTAAAGCGGGACCAAACCATACAAAACGCCACGAGCTAGATATCTTCTATTGTGTTTTTGTTTGTGTGTCTTTTTTTTGTTTGTTTTGTCTCTTCGAGGAGCGTCGAGCGAAGGGAATGAAAAGGAGCGGACGGCTGTCACCGAGATGAGCTTCTCACGGTCCAAAACTGCATTCCAGTGCACTTTAAGGCAGGTGGGCGATTCCAACGCCGTCCGAGTGTGGGCTCCTCCTCAGGAGGGGGGGGGGGGGGCAGAGGGGGCGGGGGGGGGGTGAGCCCCTCCCTGCTCAGGACAGCACACAGAGAAGGACCAAGAGGTGGAGACGGGATGGTGGTTGGAGAGTTTTCCTGTTGATGAAACATGGTCCATCGTCTCCGGGTGTCTTTGTCACATTAACCCTAAGCCACATCAAAAAAAGTAAAATAAAGACCCCCCCCCTCCCTCCCTAAACCAGCCCCCCCTCCCCCCTCCTACACCAAAAGAAGACAGCGTTGCAGATTGCGCAACACAAATACAACATCGGATCCGAATACATTCACGGAGGCTTTGGGGGACGTTTCGAGTCCCTCGAGGGTCCGACGAGGTGATTCACTATTAAGGAGCACTTAACAGTGTTTTGAAAAACATAATGGACATAAGCCTTTAAAAACACTATAATGTATTCTGTATTATTATTATTATCAAAATAAGGATTGGTATATATGAAGCGGAGGGGCGGGAGCAGGAGGTCCAGAGCTCCTCCTGCACCTCGGATCACGTCGTGTTTCACAAAACGTGTCGTCTTATTATTCTCAGATGAACGAAAAACAAAAACATGCTCACAGACGAGTTGTACCACTTGTGTACAATCAATTTCAATCTGTCACGTCGGCCCGACGCGCTTCTTTTTTTCCCCTCATCGAGGATCCCTCTGGTCTTTTCCTTCATCTGCACTGAATCAACCCCCCCCCCCCGGACCCTCTGAGCCTCCTCCTCCTCCACCTCCTCCTCACTGGGCCTCCTCGTGCTCCTCGCTGATGCACTGCTCCCAGGGGTGCTTCCCCGCGTCGTCCCGGTGGCCGTGGGGCGAGTGGAAGATCCTGCGGGGCAGCGGGACGGGCTGCGGCGCCAGCAGCTCCTCCTCGGGGATGCAGCCCTCCCTCAGGTAGGGCTTGGGCGGCACGGCCGGCGGCTGGGGCCGGCGGTAGGGGATGTGGTGGGGCCCGTGGGCGGGGGCCGGGTGGTGGTGGTGGTGGTGGTGGTGTTGTTGTTGGTGCGGCGGCTGCGGCGGCCCGTGGGAGTGGCCGTCCAGCCCCGGGTGGGCGTGGGCGTGCGGGTGGCTGTGCGGGTGCGAGGCCGGGCTGCGGTAGTGGAAGGGGCGGACGGGGTCCGCCGCCTCGATGTCCGGCCCCCCGTAGTGGATGTGCAGGTAGGGGGAGGCCAGGTAGTCGTCGGGCGGCGACCACAGGTGGCTGGGGAGGGGCTCCAGGGCGTCGTTGCGGATGGGGCCCGGGTCCGGGTACTGGCCGCCGAAGTTGCTCTCGCTCAGGGAGGAGACGCCGCTGCTGGCGCTGCCGGAGAGGGTGGAGTTACTGCCGCCCAGCGCCGACTGGGGGCTGGTGGGCGAGCCGGGGATCGGGTGGAGCGGCGACTGGCGAGAGAAAGAGTCAGAGAGTGAGCGGGCGCAACTCTACTCGCGCTGCCTTCACGTGCCGTCAGAAGCGTCAGTAAAAGAGCAACGCGGAGGCACTTGAAGGCGGCTTTGTGATTAGAAGTCGCCTGCCGGGGGGCGGCGAAGCAAAACGTGTAGGAAACGGAAGCTTCTGTGAAACCGCTTTGCCGTGACAAAAGAAAAGACTGCAAATTTTGTTTTTCCCAGAAGCTAAGTTCACAATTTCATCCTCATCGCTTCATCTATTTGTGCAAATGTAGAAAAGTAGGAAGGAAAAAGAAGAGGAGAGCAAATTAAAGACGAAGGCAGGAGGCAGAAATGCAACACAGCCGTCGTATATATTCTGTGAGCACACGTGTGCAGGCTTGTCTCGTTGCGGTACCTTTCGAAGGGAGCGGACGGGCAGGCTGGGGGGAGGGTCGCTGTTCTGGTGGTGGAACGCATCGCAGTGCATCAGGAAGTGCCCTGTGAAGTGAACAGTCGGCATGAATCATCAATTCATGCATTGCATCGAAAAAAAAGCTCTCGCAAACCCAGCCTGCACCCTGAAGAGGCCCTGAAGCCCGTAAAGAACCGGCACTACCTGTGGGGAAGGACCTGGGGGGCACGGGGGGCATGATCACACCTCCAGCAGAAGCCGGCATGTAGGACATTTGCTCCCTGTTCTCTCCATCCAGACTCCAGCTGCTGGCAGCGTTAGGAAACACTGGGGGGGGGGCAAAAGAGTCAAAGTCTCAACGTCTAGTTTCAAGTGTTCTTCAACACGCTCCATTTAGGGCGGGGCTTCACAGTGATTGACAGGTCTCTTGCAACATTAACCCTTTAACGGCGTGTTTGCAGTTCATTAAAAGTTATTTGTTTGTTGCCTAGCGACGTCTCTGTCGTACTTAGCTCCGCCTTCTCGTGTCACGTTTGGTTGCAAAAAACAAAACAAAAAAAAAAACACGATGGAGACAATTTGGGTTCGGTTACCTTTCTCTGGTGGGTTCGTGTGGGGATCCGCACACGGCTTACAGGGGCTGATTTGCTGGAGTAAGGCACGCTGCATGTGGTTGTTCTGTAACGCAGAGCGTGTGATTACAGGCCGGCAAGCGCTCTCGTTTAGCGGCAAATCCCACCTGCACAGCCCACCTGTCCGTTCTCCGCCGTGTTGTAGTACATGGAGCTGTTGACCCTCTCGCGGTGAGACGGCAGCAGGATCATCACCTCCCGGTTGTGCTTGGCCTTGTCGGGCAGAGACGGCGAGCCTGGACGGACGGAGACGGACAGAGTGAAAACGAGGACGCCGGGGGGCTCCACGCACACGTCCGCCCGCCCGCTGGCGCGTTTTCTCACTCACCTCTGGCACTCGACGGAGCCGAGTTGATAATCTGGGACGAGTTGGAGCGGATGGAGCTCAGGCTGGAGGAGGAGGGGCTCGGCTGCAGAACCAAAAACGCGCTTTTTAATCGGACAACATCGCGCGCGTCTCCGCACTAAATCAGCAAACAAGGCCTCTCGGAAACACGCGGCGACGGACCTCCCGTCCGCCCGTCCTACCTGCATGTGTGAGGCGTCCTCGGGGTGCTCCCCCATCAGGCCGTCGGTCATTATGACGAGGTTTCCTGCCTCACTCGACGTGTGGGAGGACAGGGAGGACGACGAGTGACGGATCGAAGCCTGAAGGCTCAGAGGGCTGCGGGGCGGACGATGGAGACTGTGAATCATCTGTCTGCACGTGTTCATGAACGCGTGTGTGTGTGTGTGTGTGTGTGTGTGTGTGTGTGTGCATCATTCTAGAGAAGAGATTTCTATCTGTTACATATATTCATACAGCAATTTGCATTCAAATCGCCTTCCACCGCTTTAGATCCTAATATATATATATATATAAGGTAATATCGAGGCCATTTCTCTCCCTTTCTGTGTCTATTTATTCTTTCCTGTGCTGTAACAGTGTGGCAACATCTTGCCCAAATGCATGCTGGGATAACCCCAAACATCCATGAAATGGACGATCAATTGAGAAAATACTTTTAATTTGAAAAGCTGATCTGATCCTTTCATCTTGAATCCCGGGTTAAGATTAGAGGTGTGTGTGTGTGTGTGTGTGTGTTGTGTGTGTCTGACCTGTGTCTGTGGATGAGGCGGACGCTCTCGGGGCTCATGTGGCTGTGGGAGGAGAGGACGCCTCTCGGCGAGTTGACCCCTTGGCAGCCCGCGGCGGCGAATCGCTCCACGCCGGAGACGCCCTGCTGGGACCCAACCATGTACTGCTCTGAATAATCACCCTGCTGCCACCAGCGCCACCAGCGCCACCAGCGGCAGCACCGCCACGCTCACTACTCACGTGATGTAAGCCCGTCCTCATCATGTGGAACTGGTCCACGAGCTTCTTGTGCAGGGGACGCATCTCCGGGTGCACCAGCTTCTCGTGGACGGCCAGCCCCACCCCCAGAATGTGCACCTGCTCGCGGGTGGAAAAAACAAGGCAGAGCAAAAGAGCACTGAGGAGGACGCTCACGCGAAACCGCCTAAATAAAAAAATGTCCCGAGCCGAGCCCGACCTGCTCCTGCATCAGGTCCTTCAGGTGCGTGATCCTCTCCGCGTCTTCCGGGTGGCTGCTGATGTAGTCCTTGTCGAAGAAAGCCCTGTGGTGGCAAGAGGGGGGAGGAGCCAAACGCTCACGACACCGTTTCACACGCGCGACACATTCAACGTCTCAGTTGTGCGCGAAACGCGACCCGAACCTCCTGATATCTGGCGATGCCTCCGTTGACGGCGGCGTCGATGACGCCGTTGAGGCACATGCTGAGCGGGTTGATGTTGCCGTGGTGCTGCCGGTGTTGGTACTGGCTGATCAGAGTCCGCAGCTCCTGGGTCTTATTCTCCACCACGTAGATGGCGTTCTCCAGGGGGCTCACCTCCATCTGCAGGCAAACACACGCACCATGTGACCAAGGACGTGTGTGCGTGTGCGTGTGCGTGAAGCAAAAAGAAGAGTTCCTCACCACTTCCCTCCTCTCCACCTCCGCCCAGCGGGAGATCCCGGGGAGAGGACGGGAGAGGATCAGGGTCGTCCTCTCGATCCACAGACTCTGTGGAGCAGAGAACAGAGGCTGAACCACGTCTGGCAACGTCAGGGAGGCCTGGTGGAGGACACGCGTGTGTGCGTGGGGGGGGGGGGGGGGGGGGGGGGGCTCAGCGTTGGCGTGTACATGTAGGTCAGCTCAGTGAGGGTGTAAACATCCTGATGTGGTTTCTGTCAGAGGGAGCCGTTCAGTGCTTCCAGCTCCTGAGGATAAAGAGTTGCTGCTGTTCTCTTTATTATTCGGGCTCCAACCAACGATCAATTTATCAATAAGTATAAATATATTCTTTTAAATTCTCGAAGACTGAATTTACCTTCGCTAAACACTAACATCTAAAGTAATGATGGCGCTATACAGAAATATTCAATAAACAATACAATCATTCAATATAAATGTTGATAAATGAACCGTATCCATCAGATGACAAAAATACTGAACCTGTAATTCAAAAGGATTTCTGTGATGATGATGATGATGATAAAGAAGATCTCAGCTGTAATGTGTAAGTTCATCAGGATGTAACGAATAATCGTGGAAACAATTCACAGGTTGTGACATCACTGGGACTTTAGTTGTAATAGTATCTGTGTTTGAAGGATCGGGGGTCATGTGACCCGACGTCGCAGAGGATCAATTCTTTTTGTTTGAAATCTTTAATATCGTCATTCCAAATTGATTGTCGATGCTCTACTCCCATTACGTCGGTCTGTTGCGCTTAAAGCCCCTTTGGAGGAGTTAAAGTCTCGTCTTACATATATATATATATATATCTATCAGCGTACCCTGAACTCGTTCTCGCGGTCCTTGGGCCCCTTGTGGAAGGGCCGGTCGTAGTGGAAGCGGCTGACGTTGTTTATGCGGTAGAAGCTCTTGATCCTCTCGGGCACTCGCTCCAGCTGAGGCACGTCCGAGATGTCCGACACGGGCGTCACCGCGTAGATCTGCAGGTCTGCGGGGACGAGTGTCAAGGAAGCGACCGAGGGAGGAGGAAACGCTGACGGAGGAGCTTTCAAACATCTACATGTGTCACTTTCTCAAACTGGGGGATTTACAACCCAACGGTATTAACAGGAAAGAAACGGCTGGCGGCGGGATACACTGAGCGTCGCTCTGCAGGATGGTGTCGTCGGGTTGGTTGGGATGCTGCATGGCGATGGCCTGTGGAAATTCTCCCAGCATCCTTTGCTGGAAGTCCTCGAGTCGTTCGTAGTCGTAACCGCGACAGACAAACTCCTTGTTCTGCAGAAAGAGACCACGGACGAATTTATTCCGAAACATCGCACGTACGTAGAAACGCATGAAAAGAAATGGATAGAAAAGTCCTAATACAGAATACACGCCCATTATTTCCTCTATTTAAGGAAAGATTTAACCAAAAACATTGGCGTCCCGGTCAGTTGGAGAGCCGTGAGGCCCAGAAGCTGCAGATTCAGGTAAGCACTTGCAGTCGCGGGACGACATAAATCAGGAGGACGACTGACCCGGAGGAAGAAGGGAAACTTCCTGCCGTAGAAACCCATCCTGAAGAACTCCGGCTCGATCCTCTGCTGCTCGATGATGTTGTCGTAATACGCCGCCTCCATTTTCTGCCACGGAGCGACAGAGAAACACGGCAGAGAGTCACGATGACGGAGCGAGCCGAGGCCCGAGGCCCGAAGTTCGCGGGCGCCGCGCGGGAGATCCACTCACCCGGATCCAGCTGAGGCTCTGATAGTCGTACAAGGTCTCGTACTGGAAAGCCAGCTCCCGGCAGAGAGAGATTCCGTATTCCCAGCACTGCGAGGTCAGAGAGACATGAGACGAGGGGAAGGAAATTAGCAATCAACCTGAGCCTTTCATCGGGGGGTGGGGGGGGGCTGTTTTAATATTGTAAAGGTCAGAGCTGAAAGTAGGAATATTTATGATCAATAATCTGTATACAAAATGTTTTTCCATCATTTTCTGACAGGAAGGATTTCTACATGATGCTAAATGATAAAAAAAAGCATTTACCAATAACACAACAAAAAGGCCAACTTGAATTATTCATTAAATACATTCGATGCTAATAAGGGCGGGAAAAAGAGCTTTTATTTTTCTCTTGAAGTTAAAAGAAAAATGATGTTCAAAGGAGGAAAGATTTACAAACTGACACTTTATTTTATTTTATTTAATCCTAGTTAAAGACAAGTTTTCTATAATAGTGAATAACACCTCATAACTCATAGTTAAATAAATGGGAAATGGGAGACGTCAGGAAATGGGAGACAACAGGAAGTGGTAGACGGCAGGAAGCGGGAGACGGCAGGAAATGGGAGACGTCAGGAAATGGGAGACAACAGGAAGTGGTAGACGGCAGGAAGCGGGAGACGGCAGGAAATGGGAGACGTCAGGAAATGGGAGACAGCAGGAAGCGGGAGACGGCAGGAAGTGGGAGACAGCAGGAAGTGGGAGACGGCAGGAAGTGGGAGACAGCAGGAACTGGGAGACGGCAGGAAGTGGGAGACAGCAGGAAGTGGGAGACAGTAGGAAGTGGTAGACAGCAGGAAGCGGGAGACAGCAGGAAGCGGGAGACGGCAGGAAGTGGGAGACAGCAGGAAATGGGAGACAGCAGGAAGTGGGAGACAGCAGGAAGCGGGAGACGGCAGGAAGTGGGAGACAGCAGGAAATGGGAGACAGCAGGAAGTGGGAGACAGCAGGAAGCGGGAGACGGCAGGAAGCGGGAGGTGAAGCCGTCTCGGTGCACTTGCCTTGCCCTTGTTGAAGTAGTGCAGGATCTTACGACTCAGGTTCTCCTTTCGCTGCCACTCGCTCTGACACGGGTAGTGGAGGAAGTCCCTCAGGGGCCGGTCCTCCCACTGCAGCAGCTCCCAGTACAGCAGCAGGGTGAACGCCGCCTCTGAGGGGGGGTGTGGGCACAGGTCAAAGGTCACCAGAGTAAAGGCCTTTCCTCTGCTGAACCGTTTAAGTTCTCCGAACTGACGTCATTACATCGACCGTTAAAGATCAATGAACGGATTGATAGAAACTGATAGTTGTGTGACAGGAATCAGGGAGCAAGGACATGTTAATTCATTGTTGGTAACATTGTGTATTTATTTACTTACTTACTGTCCATTGAAATTGTTCTTTAGATATTTGACCGTCTTTGCTGTAAAAACTGTATTAATAAATAAATACATTTTGTAAATATTAAAATTTGTTTGTAAATATTTAAATAAATATTAAACTGAGAGTCGATGAATCGATCGACTGAAAGAGTTTCTCTGGGTTTTTTTTAAAGATGTCTCAGAAATTGTGATGTGGATTTTGTCTTATTTGGCATGAGTGGCAGCTGTCAAATAAACAGTAAAAAAAACTATATATATACATGTAAATACTTCTTCTAGAGTCACAGGATCACAGGAACAGAAGGTGTGCTACCTGTGAAGTCCTCTGCCTGGAGATGCAGGTCGCACAGCTTGTGGATGTAACGGATGTACATGTCCTCCTTGTTGACCTCAGATTTGTAGAAGTTCTGGGGTTTTATGAAAAAAACAAATCGAGGGTTATCCTCGTCTTTTATGTGTGGAATTGTTCATGAAGGAGTTTAAAACCACAGCCGTCCACGTCTCACCATGAGGTTGACGGAACCACCAATCTTCTTGTTCTCCATCTCGTCTCCTTTCATGCAGTCCCTAAAATAAAGACATTTTTTTCTCGTTGCTCTGTGATTTGACGGAATGGATAATTTCCTTTGATTTTAAATTTCATCTTTTTCATTTTAGACTGAAAATAGTTAAGAAACACATGCTTGTCTGTAAACCATCATAACAATCTACAATAAAGGTCAGTATTTTAAGGAAATGCAATTAACCGCACCTTCCACTGTCAATGTCATGCAAATATTTCAAAATAAAAGCCTTGTGTTATCAATAGAGGGGAGATAAGCTAGATGCTTTTATTTGTTTTGTAATATGCATGAACTTGTTGAATGAATTTTAAAAAAAAGGGCAACTAAATCTCATCACACCTGTAATCCAGCAGTCGCTCCACGAGCCTGGTGACCGATGTGACGAAGGAGATGCCCGTCTCCCTCCAGGTCTCCTGCTCGATCTTCTCCAGCAGGCTGCACAGAAAACACACATTCACGCCGTCACTAAAGAGGACGAGCGCAGCGGGTCGGCACATGCGAATGGTGTCGCCACAGCTCACCTCGGGTAAGGACCAAAGAGCTGCGTCCTGCAGGGCGACCGCCAAGCAACACGCACACGAGAGAGGAACGTTAGAGGGGGGCGGGGGGGGGGACACACACAACGCCACTCCGCACACCACACACAGGTTAGATGCTTACAAGAGGCTGAAGAGCTCTCTGTGATTATCGTCGCCTTTCCCATCCGACACCATGCTGTCGAGCTTATCCATAAGCTCCGCCTCCACCTGCACACACAAGCACACGCGCGTTGCCAAAAGATGTGAGCGCGTTCCTACTGCGTCTGGCGGCACCCGACGTTCGCAGCACAACGACGCGGTGGCGGCGACCTGTTTGAAGTTCCCGTTTTTCCTCTGCTCCCAATCCATCATGTCGTGGAAAATGGGGATCATGATGTTTCGGACCTCGATCTGCGGCACCAGGGTGACGCCGAGGAAGGGGCCCATCATCCCCGGGATGAAGTGGGGCTTGTTGTCGCCTGGACGATTCACAGACACCGGAAAGAAAAAAACAACAACCCTGATATAAGTTGTGTGTGTGTGTGTGTGTGTGTGTGTGTAGTTCGGGTGGTGTGACGCACCTAATTTTTGCCACATGCTGAAGAGCTCGTAGGCCATGGTCACGCGCATGTCTCCGTGCCTGAACAGAGAGGACCACGCGTGGCGAGTCAGTTAAGACACCTGCATGGCAGAACGCATCGGGCTGAACATCCGGCTGTTCCTTACTTGTCCAGGACCTTCTTCCTCTTGGCCGGGCCGAGCGCCTCCAGCTGCAGACTGGGCTGGTTGATGTACAGCACGGTGAGGCTGAAGAACGAGTTCCACACCTGAGACACACACAGGCGAGAGTGAATGCCGCATTACAACTCCAGTCGCAGAAAGTGAATGATGCAGAAGCGTCACATTCCCAGATGTTCACACACACACACACCTTGAAATCAAAATCGGCCTCTGAGAAGTTCTTGTGCAGCGCCGGGGACAGGAACTGTGTGGTCACCACGATGATGCTGCAGAAGGCAAACGATACAGCGTCAGCTCACGAAACACCCGCAACACAAGCTTCCCCTTCAGAGCGGGACGAGCTGAGGCGTCCGATCTAGCAAAGAGCGCCAGCGTGGACGCACAGCGCGAAACACTCACTGACTAGTTAGAAGCCTCATGACGCTCCAGTCGCGAGGGAAGATGGTCAGTTTCATCAGGTTGCGGAACACGCAGAAGATCTTCAGCAGGAACTCCTGTGGAGGAACATAGCAAGAAGGCGTAACGGCGCTTTAAGGCGCGTGGCGAGCAGGGGGGCCGCGGCGTTGGCGCGCCGTGACTCAAGAGGCTTTCACACCTTCAGCTCCTCTTTGCTGTGGAAGTTGTTGAGCAGATGGTGGAAGTGGAGCTCCGTCATCTGGCGGAGCAGGGAGAGGAGGCAGGAGACGTACTCGCCCTACGCGAGGGGGGGGAAAAGATGGCGGTTAGAGGCGCGCGGCGTTTGAAACGGTGAATCGGCTCAAACGCCTCGGGAAGGAGGCGCGCCGAGAGAGGAAGCTCACCGTTATCTCGGCGGTGCACTGGGGACAGCGTTGTCCCCTGGCCGTCTCCACCGAGTGAGTCTTGCTCATGATGGACAGCAGAGTCTGCAGCAGCACATCCAGGAGGCTCTCCACCATCATCTCCACTTCCTCCTGAACAGAGGACTCCTGAGGAAACACGGAGATGCACACGGAGATGCACTATGTGTGTTAAAGCCAAACAGCAAATGATGTCTGTATGTATCGCGTCTCCTTCTGTGATGCACGTCTTTAAATGAACACTACCATGGAGCTGGTCTTGATTATGGAAAAGATGCTGGTGAGGATCCCAGAACAGATGAGCAGCTCCCTCTGCTGGCGCAGATGCAGGTGGATGTGATGCAGGACCACCGGCAGCAGAATACTACGAGACTCTGAGGGGCGGAGACGGGGGGGGGATGGGGGGGAGGAGGAAGAGTGAGGATGAAGCCGTGAATCGGACTAAAGGCGGCCGTGGTTTTTTCGGTCAGCGACGGCCTCACCGGGGAAGAAGAAGAGGCGGCTCTCGACTGTGCGAGCGATGGACTGCAGTTTGACCACGTCCATGGACTGGCCGATGTCCACGGTGCTGGGCATGCTCCCCAGGGTGCCCCGGACGTATTCGGCCACCTCCTGAACGGTGAACATCTGCAGCAGCTCATCAAATATATCGGGGAAACTGTTCAACAGCGCTGCCTGTGGGAGGGGAGGAGGAGGGGCGGGACATTAAAACACGACACAGATCCAAAACGACATGAAACCTGTGAACCCGTCTTCCGAGAGCGCCGGGGTCTCCAAAGAGCAAAAACCATCGGCCTCTTTCAAACGATCTGTTTCCATCTAAAGCGCTGGCTGCAGATCAGTTACCCACAAAACATCTGCTGCGTGGAGGAACCAACACAGGGGGGCGCTCTGACTTACTGAGACGGACGAGAGCCCAAGAGGCATGACCACAGAGAGGCATGCAGCTGATCACACCCCTAAACTGACCGCAGCAAGACAGGGACAGAAATGCACAGAATGAAACGTGGTAGAAATGAAGAAAAAGTCAAATCAATCACGAGCGCAAAACAAACGGAGAAATAAATGAACGGTGGACCGTGAATTTAAAATGAAAACAAAGACGGATGGATAGGAGAGGAAAGCAAAGTTAAAGGCGGCGGTGTCCGACCTGCGTGAACACCAGGTTCTCCGAGCTGCGGCCGTCCAGACTGAGGACGAAGCGGATGGACTGGAAGAGCTCCTGGACGCTGGCCCTGAACTGCTCCTCCTCCATGCCGCAGGTGGCCCTCGCGTAGAGGATCCGGGACTGCACGATGAACTTGAACAGGTACTCCAGGGCCTGAGGGGGCAGGCGGGACGCATTCGCTCAGCGAGTCGTTTGTAAAGAATTACGATGAGTAAGCAGGAAGCATGAGAAGGAAAAGTTCCTCAGGTGGTCTCATCAGAGAAGACAATTATAACATTTGCACAATGAGGATGGTTTTTTTTTTTTTTGTCATAATTACTTCCTCACAAAAGGTGATTAAGCACCAAAGAATCCCAGCAATTTCCCACAGCAAATCAAACTATAATAATTATAATACCAATAACACGGATAATAAACGGCACTGATGCACAAAATGCTTTTCAAAGAAAAAGGTTCTTGTTGTGGGCGCCACATAAACCCCCGGTTTGCTGCTAAAGGGAGGAGGTGTGCGTGACCGTTACCCTCATGGCCTCCTGGATGTGGTCCTGTCGGATGACCTCGGCCGAGCGGTCCATGTACCACTTCAGACATCGGATCAGTTCCCTGCAGAGAGACAAGTTTGAAAGGACGAGAGTCAAAGCCCGGGGCGACTTTGCGGGCGTCTGAATTCAGATTGTTGACGTTTGCTTTGTTGTCCCACTTGTACGCCAGAGCTCCAGCAAAGTGGTTCTGGATGTAGGAGTCCATGACGGGTCGGAAGTGGTAGAACCGGCTGTCCCTGAGCAGGTTGATGATGAACACCTGGAGCACAAACACACATGTAGATGTTCACCTCACCGCCACACGTACGTGCAGCTGCTCTCCTTCTCCTACCAGTGACTGGAAAACCAGCGGTCCATATTTATCAGTGTTGTCGTCCAAGAGACAGAAGAGCGTATCCAAGACGTCCCGCAGGAACTGTGGGGAGAAGAAGGGGAACAGCACACGACACGAGCCTTAAATAGAGACAAGAGGGCAGAACATCCCACAAAACATAATGACAAAAGATATTTTTTTTAATTCTGAGGTGATATTATATTCTTAACGGCATCAAATGTGGTTTGCAAAGTGAAATAATGAAAACATGAACTGTGAATATTAATACAAATATAAGACAAACACTGTAGTTTCACCTGTTATCCATAAAGTCACACTTAAACACGCACACACGAAAGGTAAATACACAGCGACGGATAAACAACGTGATGAGAGCGACCTTCACAATCTCCTCTCCGCTGATCTGACGCAAGCGACCGAGGATGTCCAACACCCGGTCGGGGTGAGCCTTCCAGTTCAGCAGAGCCAGGAGGTCCACTGGGAACAGAGGGAGACCGGAGGCAGGTCAGCTGGGGTGGAGCCGGGGCGATGATTCAAAATGACCATTCATGTATTGACTCGTTATTGAGCTGCTAGAGAACACACTTCATATAAAATGTCTCATTTCACAACAGAAGATTCCGCCTCAGGGGGGGGGGGGGGGGGGGGAAGTGGAAACAATTAAGCAGAGCAGCGAGTAGGATGCTCCATTAACCATTTTGTGTGAGCTTGGTGGAGCAGAGTATGGTGGAGACCCAGAAGGTTTCTTTGGGGCTCCTCTGGAAAGGCAGGTTGGCCGGCAGGTTGGGGCAGCTGTTGAAGTCCTCCTTGCAGCAAGGCAGGCTGAGGTACAGGCCCTGGTTGCTGAAGGTGGCGGTTTCATCGCACTGGGTGGGGGGGGGGGGGGGACGGGTGAGAGAAACAAACACAGTTCACGCGTTTCGGTGAAGCAGAGCCGACAAGACGGACGGTGAATTGAATCCCACGTCCTCGGACTCGGAGGCAGAAACTGTGGGAGGGCAGAAACCTGCAGGCACCTTGTACACATACAGCTCGTGGCTCTCGTCCGACAGCGTGGTCCCGTCTTCTCTCATCAGAGGAGTGAACGCAAAGCCAAACAGTTTCTTCTCTCCTTTGTCTTTAGCTGAGAAAAAAAAAAAAAGGGGGCGGAGGGGGGGGGGGGAAAGGACCGTCATGCATCTACCACGGCGTACCCGCACAGCCCAAACCGCCCGCCGCCTGCGTGACCCCCCGACCCCGCCGAGGGGACTCACTGGAGCAGTGCCTGAACTCGAAGCGCAGGTGGGAGCCTCTGAAGCGATCGATGGGGATGGGCAGCTTGACCATCTCGCTCCAGCGAGGGCCGTTGTTGTGGTAGAGGACAAAGGAGCGATACTCGCTGCTGCTGGGCTCCCCGCTGCCCAGACTGATGCAGTCCTGAGGGCAAAGAGAGACACAGAAAGGAGCGTTTTCGGTGAGGACAAGTGGGTGAATGGAGGGGGAGGGTGAGGGGGGGGGGGGTTACATTGATCGTGACTCGTGAGTCGTGTGTCGTACTTTGAGTGTGTCCCCGTCGGCGTAGAGCACAAAGAGCGTGACTTCGATGTTCTTCTGGACGCTCTTGCCGCCCCTCTCGAACTCGCCGCGCTCCAGGGTCAGATACAGGTCGTTGCGCGTGTCGCCTGAGACAAATCACACGGGACTTCGGTTAAAACGCCAGCGGGCACACGCGCGGCGCGCGCGGCCTACGGGTCGGCCCTCCTGGAGTGACGTCGCCGGGAGGAACTTAAGTTGGGAACAAGATGTTTCCGAAGCGTGAGTGTGTTCTTCCAGTTGCAACAAATTTGCACCATCCGCCAGGTTTAGCTTTTGTGCTCTAGGCCTCCAAGTATAAATTAAGGAAAAAAAACATAAAACAAATAGTGAAGATTTACTTGGTGGAGAATTCCATCTGCTTCTCTTTTGGATTAATCATTTTGAACACCTACAAATAATAAGGAAACTAAACAACAATCAAAATTAAATTAAATTAATTCAATAAAAAAAGTAGTCAAAACTTATAGAGTCCAGCCTCTAAATTACTATTGTAATAAATTAGAAAATTCAATTTGGGCCTAAGACGAAATTCAGGTTACATAATTCAATTCAATTCATTTTATTTTGTATAGCCCAAAATCGCAAATTACAAATGAGGGCCCTACAGTCTGTACACATACAACATCCTCTGTCCCGAAACCCTCCATCGGCACAGGAAACACTCCTTCCAAGAGGGAAAAAGAAGGGAAGAAACCTTAGGCAGAACGTCAGAGGAGGAATCCCACTGGATGGACAGACTACAATGGATGCCATGTGTACAGAACGAACAATGTATAATACACGCAATTCATGCATGGAATTGAACATGCGTTATTGAACGCAGTGGCATGCATTCGATAATGAATGCCACTGGGATTGAAGGCTGGAGCGACGGTATCACAGTTAGCAACGCTGACGATCGCGTGCCGATCCGGCGCCCTCTAGAGGCCGCGGCTGGAGACAGCAGCACGGCGACAGACGTGGATGAGCTGTAAGGTTGAGCTCAGCCCGACGCCTCGCCGATCAACTGCGAGCGGTCAACATAAATTAAGGCCGAGACGTGCGGCACGCGTCACCGTTCCCGACGACAGGGCAGCGGACCCCGGAGCGCCGGAGCTGCCGCGCCACCTTCTGTCAGGTCAGCGATCAATGCGATGGATATCGGTGGCAACAATGGAGGAAGACATTGCAGTTATTTATAAAATCAGATCATGGTTATTTATATCCGAGTCATTTCCTTGGGGACAGATGAGTCACCAGAGGTGATGTCGGGAGGTATTTCAGGCCAACTGGAGAGGGGAGGAACGGAGAGACGGGAGGATGCACGATGTTATCTGATGAAATGTACCAAAATAAACACACGCCTCTGCTTTTCTTTGAGTTATCTTTGAAGACCTGTGCTCCTCATAAGTCGCTCGGCGCCTGACCTGAATCCAGCGGTGGAAGCAGAACCAGCAACAAAATCGATCCTGTTAATATCGATCAATAATAATATATATAATAATATTCTTTTTCATTGGCCACGATAAATTGCTTAATGGGATCGTTTTCTTCCGGGAATAAGGGCTAAAAAGTGGAATATTCTGTGAATGTAAAAGTACGGGATGTGTGAGTGACACTTTGCTCATCGCCTGTTGTTTCGGGTAATTATTTTGACCTCTTTGACCTCTTTGAGCCTCGCAGAGTCGTTTAAATGAAGCAGTTTAGGAGAAGTTTAGATGACTTATCGTCACCTGACAAGAGACACAAGGCCACTTTGTGAAAAGGTGGAATCCCGTCAGCTTAATGTTTTAACTGAACAGTAACTACACATGTATATCGTTGTCATCCGGCCCCCCGCAGGTCGCCCCCCCCCCCCCCCTCCCTCATCACCTGCTCTCTCCTCACCTGGCAGGATGACCTCTGGGAAGCCCAGTTTGCGCGTGAAAACCAAAACCCTGTTGAACACGGCCTGGTTCTCCCTCCTGATCTGCTCCAGCTCACCTCCCAACAACTGCAGGGAGAAGATGAAGCCTGGGGGCAGGAACGGAAGAGGGGGGCGAGGGGTTGGAAAGGGGGGCGGGGGGGGTACTTTAGGAGAGTTTTAGTTAGACAGCGAAGGATGGTGAAGAAGACGACGGGAGGACGGGAGGGCATTTAAGAGGACATAGCCAAAGTGGGCAGGCGAGACAGACTCGATGGAACCTGATCAGAGGAGAAGGGAGGGAGGGAGGGAGGGAGGGAGAAGAAATGGTGTCGGGGAGCTACGCAAAGGAGCGAGATGAAATCAAAGCCACCACACAAATGTGGCGACAGATTGTTTTGCAGGAATGAGTCACAAATGAAACAGCGAGCTGCTCATAAGAAAAGAAGAAGCATTGGTGGATTTCTCCGCGGAGCCATTTTGAAAAACTCCACAGGAGACAAAAACAAAGTCACCTGCTCTACTTTTTCACAGGAGCCGAGGTGATTATTATCACACACAGCGCCTGGGTGGGTGGGGGGCATACTGGGAAATCATTTTTATAAACTACTGGTAGATGTTCGTGGGGATTGTAATTATCAACAGAGACGCACTTTTGATAAACGTTGCTTCATCAGCTGACAATTTTTATGCAAAACTAAAAAGCCCGATGTGAATATTTGGCTGAAGAACGTCATTACGGTACTTTGCACAGACCCGACTCTGCATTGAGTAAACACTGCGCAGCCTTTTCTCTCCGGTGACAATATCGACGCTTCTCTGTAATCGGTGCTTTTGGAACGGAGCTGCAGCCAGAAGTCGATCAGCTCACCGGAGGACGATTCCCGTTTCCTCGGCACATAAAAAGTGCTCACGCTTCTTGTTTGGACTACAAACACAAACGGTTTAATTAAGCGTTTTAGAGGGAGGGGTATTTCTTGCAGCTTTCTTTCGATTCCTATTCAGCACGAGAGCGTTTTGTCCTTGCTAATGGCGAACTGTCCCTTTACACGTGTGAACTACTTTAGTGGGACAGTTATAATTAATGCAACTTTATCTTCTCCTGGTATCGTGTGAACTTATTTTTCTGAGCAGCTACAATTCGTTTATTTTGGCTTGATTGGTTTTTAATGTACTCATCAATAAACACTAAAACAATATCCAGTTTTATTAGAACCGACCGTGCTGGCAACGATTAACAGTTGACAGCGTGAGAGTGTGTAACGGAATAAGAATCTCACAATCTGCAAAGAAATAAGAAATAAACATGGATGGAACTCGTTAAACTCAAACCTGCAAAAAGGCGGAGCGGTTTACCGTAGTTGGTGCTGGGAGCGGAGTACTTGGTGTTGGACTTGCGGATGATGTTCTCCTGAATCTGGTGCCACTCGTTCTCGTTGTTGCACCTGGGGAGAAGAGACGAGTCGGGGGGGGAGTGGGGAGGCGTTAACAGCGCGGCCATTAGCGAGGCCCAGATGGAGGGAATCGGGATTGAGTGCACGGGGACCACATGAACAGCATGTGTCCCAGAGCCGATTTCCTCCTGGAGGAAAAGGTAGCGAGGGGGGGGGGGAACGGGGGGGGGGTGGGGGGCACTATCAAGCAGCACATTAGCCCAAACAGCACAGCTCACTAAGCAAACCTGACAGCCCGCTCTTCACCAGCCTCTTTCATTACCGCCGGCCCGAAGGCCCCCGGGACGCCCGGGCGAAACGCGCGGACTGGAGCGTTATGGGAGCCGACAGTTTTAGAGACAGCTCGCCGCTGAATCACCCGCTCGCCTCCTTTCCTTGGGGAGAGAGAGAGAGCTCGTCGCCTCAGCGCAGGAATCCAATGCAAAAACCGCAGCTTTCTATTCCGGAAATCTTTATTTCACACCGAGCTGTAAAGTTATCCGGGAAACACGAGCCACACACACACACACACACGCACACACACACACACACACACGCACACACGCACGCCCGTCGGGACGGCCAAGTGACCTCCGACCCTGCAGAGGACGCTGAGGAGGACAGCGCGGACGCGCGCGGAGACGTTCTAGCTGTCGACTGACAAGAGAACATGCTGAGCTCGGCGTTTCTTTGTTTTTCTCTTTCCTCGACCTCTGACTCCGTTATCTAAGTGTCACCTCCCCTCCTTCCTCCCCTTTCCGTCTCCCTCCTTCGGCGTAGAGGAGTGGCCCTCGGTGGCGGAGGCCCGGCAGAGGCAGCCAGATTCACGACGCGCCCCCAAAGTGCCCTGCGACTCTCCGTTACCGTCCTGCGCAGAACGCCCTCATGCAGCGCTTTGGCCTCACTGACGTAGATCCTTCAAGTTAGAAGGTAAAAGAAGCGATCGTACTTTTGCAATTGCAAGCAAAAGGTCAGCGGAGTTGTGCGGTGCTCACGTGTAAACTTTGAGCACGAAGTCCTTCTCCTCCTTGAGGTCCGTGATGGTGTGGAAAACGTCACTCATGGCCAGAACGGCGCAGCCGTACGGCCGCCTGTACTGCACGTGAGGGGGACCTTTCTTTGAGTCGTTCAGCAGCATGCGGCCTGGCGGCGAGAGAAGGGGTCAGAGGGCACGCGAGGAACAAAGCGGGGACAAATGGCTGTTCTTAAGAGCCGGCGTTTCATTTACCGGTTCTGATGACGTGTGCAACTATGTACAGGTCCCTCTTCAGGTCCTTGCTGCTCAGGTCCTGAAGAGAGACGCCAAGAAATACACAATAATATCAATGTGAATACAAACGCAGAGTTAAGTAATATATTCATGTATATATTAAGTGTAACATTTCCTCCTCCTATTCCTGATTCTGACAGCTGGTTAAACTCCTTGGACGGATCTTACTTCATTGCGTGTGTCACATTTCGGCGTTACCGTGAACAGGGCGCACAGGCGGTCGACCTTCTCCGGGTTCTTTGGTCCTCCGTTCTTGTTCAGCTTCACCATGAACTTCTCGCTGGGGAGGAAAGAGGCGAGTTGACAGTTTTCAGAGCGTCCGTGGGGCCGCGGGGGGGGGGGGGGGGCCCGCGCCTCGGGGCCCGGCCGGCCGCTCGCCGCGCGTACCTGATCTGTTTGGCCTCCCGGGTGTCGTACAGGGAGAAGAAGACGTCCGCGTCCTCGCTGATGCTGTTGTACGTGAAGCTCTTGAGGTTGATGAAGAGGTGGTGCGACACGGGGACACGGCAACCGTCGCCGTGCCGCTGTCGCGTGCTGTCGCCCTGCGGAGCGGAGAGGAACAGTGACTAGACGGGTCCGTGCCGCCGCTTATTATTATTTAACAGATCAACGGGGGGGTCTGTGACAGGTGACCTATTAATAGATAAATGCTCCACAGTATTTACAGTAGACCAAGCAGACAACAACAAGAAACGATGAATGAGCGATGTTAGAGGACGTGGGGAGGAGGGTCATGTGACGCGGTCATGTGACGTAACCCTCCATTTATAAGTATGTACGGCTGCTTTAGAGGAGCTGTCAGTGGTTTCGCCTCCGTCTCTGTTGGTCTGTGAATCGATTCGCATTTCCCTTTGAGACTTTGTTATTTTAGGCTGCCTTAAAAACATCTGGCCGGGGACAGATGTTAGCCTCTCTGGCTCACTTACAGTACAACTGTTGATGGGTGTGAATTGTCCCTGCAAAGTAAAAGAATACATAAATGAATAAAAGGTTCTAATGAGGATGTGCAGCATTTAGTAGTATAGTGGTAGTATACTATACTATGTAGTATAATGGTAAAGTATTCAGGGTGAATATGAAATGCTGCAAATGGAAAAAGGAGGTTCAGCTTTAGCGCTGCGTTTCAATGTCGCAGTTGTTGCGACAGCTTTGTGCCGATCGAAGGAATAATTGGATATTTTGTGAAATCCACAACTTTGGTCACCGACAGCGTTGAATCTTTGTCTGTTGAACGTTGCTTTTTGGAAGCCAAAGTGTTCAAACGTCTCACTGTGGATAAACAGGAGACCGATTTGTCCCCCTGAAACCGAGCCACGCTAGCTTTGCTTCCCGTTTCCAGTCTTTGTGCTAAGCTAACCAGCTTGTGGTGGCAGCTGAGCTTTTGCAGGCGTTCTGTCAGTGGATGTGAGTTTAACTGGAACAGTGAAGCTTTACGCCCACGGAGCAGGAATTATACTGTATTTTATCCTGAAATCAGCCCAGTGTTTAACTCAAGCTGAAGACAAAATCAGCAGTTTTGAATTGTCAAGCTTTTGCATCATCGCAGCGACTGGCCTGCACTCGCGTTGACGCGGGGTACTTTGTTTTTGAGCGATTGTTTTTGCACTCAAAAAAAACACATAAAAGCGATGTTGAAATGTGCAGATTATCTTATCCGAACAAATTGTGTAATTATCATAAACGCTCGTCAAAGCAGCCGATGGCGTCTTTGTGGGGACCAGTGTGATGCAGACCAGCGTTCATTACATCCACAGGGAGAAGCACAACATGAGGGGCGACGAGGCTCTGACGACGATACCTGGCTTGTGCTTTGCTGGCCGCAGTGTCTGCTGGAAACGTGCTAAAGGAGAGAGAGAGAGACGAAGGGCAAAGAGGTCATTGCACACACCGCCCACGCGGCGCCGGACAGACGCACAAGCGGCAACCGCAACGTCCTCCGCTCCGCACGGGCCGCTGAGCCGTGACCGCGAGGAGGAAGATATAGAAAATAAACGTGAGCGAGTGGGAGAGGAGAGGACGAAGCCGGTACCGCCCACGCACACGCACACACACAGACACACACGCACACACACACACACACACACACACACACCTCTCTGAACTCCTCTACCTGAAGAGGAGAGAAAAGAAACCAGAGTGGATCTCCCTCCTGGATCACAGTCGCATTATCACATTAGATTTCATAACACCTGCGCTGTAATCGCATATTTCTCAAATTGTATCCGCTTCGGTTATTCTCCCGTCTCCACCTGTGTGTATTTGTTAGAAAGCCCGATATCAATGAAGTACATTGGAGGCATTGTGTATTTATGGAAATACGTCACTGGTCCGGCTGTTGCATTGCAGCGTCAGTGAACAGAATATGTCGTTTATAAAATAAGAAATGCATCTGTATGCGCTCCTCCAAAGCCTGAGCCGTGGCAGCGCGTCGGTGCAGCAGCAGCGAGAGCATGCCGGGAGAGGGACGCGCTCGATGCGGCGGCGGCGTGGAAGGTTGGATAATCGCCACGTTCTTATATGTAAAAACAGGCCGTGTGACAATAAAAGCTCCCAGTGGGCCGAGCCAGCTTTGCCTGGGTCACCGCGGTAGATACATGCGTAGCTTATGCATGCATGCATCACAATTTAATTGCATTTTTGTCCCTCTCAGGATGCCCACTTACGTTATTAATTTATTGCATTCAATAATTCACGGGGTGAGTTTGCACAGCATGCAGTGGATGAAGGCTCCCCGCCCCAACGTACCAGTTTGTGCAGCTCCGATATGCTGATCTGATCTGGATCCACCATCTCAAACTCTTTTCTGGGGACAAGGTCTAAGCCGAGGTGCCTGAGGAAGGAAGGATTAGAGGGCGTGAGGAGACACGGATCAGAGCTTATTAAAGAGAATGAGCCTCTGAATGAGACGCCGTCACATTACAACTTTCAGTGTAAGAGTGTTAACTGCTGAGCTCTTTTTCACTTGAAGATGATAATAAATAAATGTCCACACGCGCCTCAATCAGCTTTGTAACGCACGCAATTCAATCTTCATGTCTTTTCCTTTTGTAAATGTACTACGGTCTAATAACAGCACATATGTTATATGCTAAAATATTTAATATGCTGAATATTGCACCTTTACGTCACTACATTTAATCAGACTGGTGTAGTTTTGATGAATGTTTGTGCTGTAAATAAGAAGCTGCAGTCGGCTAGCTCAACGAGCTAACGCAGCTAACAGAGTCCTGCCTGCAAGAGGCCGAATCGGCCGACTGAGACCTCGAGAGCGCACAAATCCACGCGGCATATCTTGTTTGTTTAATTCGACACGCGTGTCCAAGTGTCTGTTGAGCGTTTTACCGTGGGTTTAATCTCTCTTAGACGAGAACAGGGGCGTCCTGTCGGCTCAGCTGGTTGCCCGGCAACTGTTCAGGGCCACGTATTTCTCACAAAACCTGTTTTTAAGATTTCACAGGATTTCTCTTTTCTCGTCGTCTCTTTCTCGATCAAACATGTCAACGACATTTACATTTGTTGAATGCAGCTTATCCCCAAATTGCTGCAACATTATATAATATCAATATTTTATAACCAATGATGTCATGTGTATACTACTAAAAGGAGCCATTCTGCTTAGAGAACACATTTTTTTATTATTGTAATATATTGTTTCTTTAAACTCCAGCAATAAAGTTATTTTTATTATGTTTCTATTATTATTGTTATCATAAAAACTCAATAGCTGGCTGTCAGAAGGATGTAATTGGGTCCACATTGGGATACGAAATAGAAATAAAGGTGGTGGAGCACATTGGAAAGCTTTTAAAGGTAATGTGTTCGTATAAACTTCATTCTGTATCGGCTTCCTCCAGGCAGAACTATTCAAACAGGAAAAGCAATCTTCACCGGCACAACGATCACATCTATCCGTCTTCTTTGAGATCACGTTTGCGCATAAAACATCCTGTGAGGATTCCTGTCTAATCCTGCTGTTCTTCGCTCCGTGTGCACATCATAACACATCTGGAAACATTTGTTTGAGTAATTGGGACTTCTGCGTTTATCAAAGTGTCTTTGGGGATTGAACAGGGCGAAAGTGGAGCGCCGGCGTCATTTCCTTGTATACGTTGCTGGTGCAGCCTCGCTGTGGACGACTATCAGCGCTGCTGGGTCTCTTGACCATGAAATTAGATCACGGCAGCTCTCAGGTCAGATTGCGCGGCGGTGAACCGAGTGCAGTGAATCTACAGACTCTGCTTCTCAGGGTGAGTTTTAGTCGTTTTACCCTGACACATTTCTTCCTGTGTACTTTTACCTGCAATGAATACGCCCTAAACTGACGGAAGATCCCTTCTCCAGTCACGCCTTCACCTCCGTTAGTCGGTCGGAGGGAGATACCGCTTCGCAGCCACTCGCCATAAGGGAAAAGCGCCGCGTTCTCTGGTACTCACTCGTTGCCCCAGTCGAGCCGCACGGTGATGTGCCGCTTGATCTCGCGGGTCTGGTCCTGGGCGAGGTGACCCTGGATCAGCTGCCGACGCAGGTCGATGAGCTCGTTCATCACATGGCGCAGCTTGTGGAACAGATCCACCTTGTGTTTCTATCGTGGCAGGAGACACAACAGAAGAGAGGCGCCGTTAGGACTCAGTTAGGACGTCTCCTCTTCTGCAGCGTCCTTGTGAAATCCGGGGTCTATTCTACATATTTATTACTGCAAAGCTGGTGTGTATGCAGGTGCTTCTCTGAAATCAGACTTTAGATGAAGCGGAATCGAGATAAAAATCGCATTCCAACCACTTCTGCAGAATAAACACGCGTTGCCACAGAGATTTAAAGCCCAGTGGAAAGAATTCTCCTCACGGTAATTCATTTCATCACCATCTCTCATAAACCAAGGACGACAGCTTTAATTGAAGCCTTTTCCGTTCTCCCTGATGGCACCAGAAGTCCCCATTACCGCCAGGTTGGTTTATATAAACGCAAAGATTACGCGCCGCCACATTGCCGATGCAAATGTAATGAGGATAAACGCTGCGTGTTCTCGGGAGGCTGCTGGCAGACAAAGACTCTTGTCAGGGCTGATGAGCCCCTTCGGGTGTCTATTCTTTGGGGATAATTACCTGCATTTTAACAGATACACAGTCACGCTCAGGCCATCGCTCCCTGAGGCAGCGACGTGAATTGCAAGTGGCAACAATGAGGCGAACTGTATTAACATCCAGCCCAAGCTACAACCCATTGTTATGGAGGAAAAAACGGTGGCAGCACGGCCCATATCACACACAGGGGGGGGGGGGCGGGTAGCAACCGTCGAATCAGCGCTTCGCATTAGTGGAGCTTCAGAGGACGCTCCATCACCGCGCCGATGCCTCGGGCTCCACAGTTGCTCAGTTGCTCAGAGGGAGAGGCGGCTCCCACGGGTGTTTTCTATAAAACTCCCCCCCCATCTCTCGGAGAGTCCCCTCCGGCGCGCCATAAAAACCTCTCCGAGGATCCTTTTTTTCGCGCCTCCCCTTCAAAAAAAAGGGCACACCCCACCGGGGGGGGTGGAGGGCGTCTAAGAATCCGGAAAACCCTTGTCGCCCGTGAAAATAGCCCGGGGGGGGGGGGGGGGGGGGGCGGCGGCCTCGGGGAGCGGTGAGAGGCGTCTTGTGGGAAAACGGCCTGCGTCACCGTGGCCGCGCGAATTCCGCTATGCGAAGACTCTCTTAAGGAGCCGTCCCTCTATTCACGAGGCTCGCTGGTTCCACCAGGTGTCGAATTGAGGGCAGGGAGGAGGAACATGCTGCAGAAGCACCAAAAACCCCCCCCACAGGGGCGTGCAAACGAAAAACAACGGATTCATTTATGCAGCAAAACCCTCCCCCCCCCCGTAGAGGTTTTGGTAACGTCAGATTCAGCCTCGCGTACATCTCGAGCGAGACAAATACGAGACGCCACGCGGCGCTTACTGACCACGTAGAGCTGCTTCCACAGGACCCCCCATTCCTGCAGTGTGGAGGTGGTCTCGGTGATAATGGGGTCCTCCAGGGGCACCACCGTCTCGCACAGCCTGCAGCGAAAACAAACAAACAGGCAGATGAGCGCGAGCACGCGCACGCACACACACACACACACATCCGTGCTGGAGAAGAATGCTTCACAGCAAGTAACAGCAATGAGGAGAGCGAGGGATTAATGGGAAATTCAGTAATTACATCACAGCTGCTAATCCCGGTTTCGCTCCATTAATTCAGCATTTCGGGGTTCGAGTGGTTTGCCGTGTTGCTGGTTTGGTATCAGCTCGGCCTGTCGGCGGACGGGTGTTTCTGGTCACTCTGACAGGTGTTTCTGTGCCGAAGGCGATATGAATGCCAACGTTGTGATCTTTTTTGACCCTAATGTGCGTGGAAACGAAAACAAAGGTACGCAGCTCGATGCCTTGTACACACAGTGGGTCACATTCCTCTGGTGCTGGAGCAGAGAAATTGCATCATGAGCCGACCCGGCAGAGCTGAAGTGGGCCCGGTGCACACGGGCACCTGCTGCAGGTGAGGCCCAAGCGGCCTTTAAAGGTAAGCAAAGCGTGAATATGCAGACGGGAGGACGGGTGACCTTCTCTCTGGCTGCAGTTAGGAATGAAAGTGGAGCACTAAAAGAAACGCCCCCCTCGCCCCCCCCCCCCCCCCCCTGTCACTTTGCGTCCACACCCGTAGGAAGAATGAAAGCAAAGGTTAGACCTCTTAGTTGCTCTCGTGGCTCCGGCCTGCAAAGGATTAATACCGTATCCTGGTGTCTGCGTTCATTACCCGATGAGTCAGGGTGATGCTTTGGGAGAACTACAGATATAAATGCAGAGGGGGGGGGGGGGGGGGTCACCTCATTAACTCCACGAGACAGCAAAGCACATTTTTCCCAAAGTGCAACTCCCGCAGCGGCAAAGTGTAATAACGTCAATTTCAAAGTCTGCACTTTTTAATTGTTTGAGTGCAATCGAGAGTCCTCGTGCTGTACGATAGCTCGACCGGAGGGTGGTGGCATAACCGCTCAAGTCCCGATCCACAGCGAGCCGCAGCGCCCAGACGCCAGAGGTACCGCCCGCGCGTGTGTGTGTGTGTGTGTGTCCATGTGTGTGTGTGTGTGTCAGCAGCTGGCGGGTGGTAATTGTCGTGAAGTTTGGTTCGTTACGGATCGCCATCACTTTGGCGCTTGTGTATCGGGGAGTGAAGGAAAGCTGCCGACCTTTATGCAATAAACTAAATGGTTTCGTCCGCATCGCTCACATCGTCCTCCGATATGTCTCAATAAAGGCAGCGACGGATCCGTGAAGAGAAACCAGCCAAGACGAAATAAAACTAATAGAAAAACTCTTCTTCTTCAGTTTCATTCACTTTTCACAAATTCTCTTTATCTGTTTACCTTTACTTCTTAATCCTGGATAGAAAGACTCTCACTTTCTCTCCAAACATTAGATGATATTTGGGCATGATGGGCGTGCAGTTGGTGACGGCGTGCGCTCCATGGCAACGTGGCCCCAACAGCTCGGCGGGGGGGGGGGGCGCAGCAGGAGATGGTGGGCGGAGCTTAGCCAAGGGTAAATGACGATGCTGCGCAAGCTCAAATGTAAAAAAAACACCTCAGCATGCAACTTACCCTCTGTTGGTCACGGTGGAGTGGACGTAATTTCTTCAGCTGACTGGGAAAATACCCTGCGGACAGAGAGGAAGGAGCGCCGACGTTACCGAGTGTGACAGGATCCCGCTCTGTACGCGGAACCGCAACGCCAACTACTGCGTTGACAACCACGACTGTGTTGTTGGAAGAAAATGCGAGATCGCGCTTGCTTTATGTGTGCTTTGGAAAATCCCGGCTTTGCTGCACGCGTGCAGGAGGCCCCGTTGGGCCTTTTCGGCTTGGCCGGGCGGAAGGCCACGGGGAGGCGGCGCGGCGCCAACCCGCCACCCTTTGCAGTTCATCCCTCCTATTCTAATCTGCCAGATGTGGAGAATCGGCCCAAAGTGAGCACAGCTGATTCCTCTCAGCACAGAGAGAGTGCGGGGGCGACTGAACGTGGGCAGCGGAGTACATAACAAAATGGAGGGGTGTTAGTAAGAGCTGTAAATAGCTGGTGAGAGTGGAGCAGCGACTAACACCTACGTTTACCAGCGCCGCACAGCTTTCGTGCCGTCTTTAAAACATTACCGCAGCATCACGTAACACTTCGGTTTTCTGACATCTCAGTTAAAAGCAAAGCAAAGATACAAAGTCAACCGAAAAAAAAAGTACCCGCTCACTTGTTTCTACTAATACGTCTGATCCTGCCGATCACATTCGTGGATACGCAATCTCTGCAGCATCCTTCCGCTACAGGTTATTAAGAATGAGGTCTCCCATAAACAGTCTTTACAGAGCAATCAATCCAGCGCGAAGCAGATGTGTGCGGCGTTTATATATAACCACTTTCTGCAGTGCAGAGCAGAGATCTCTGTCAGCAGCAAAGGGGTTCTGCACCTACGTGGTCTCTCTGGTTTGTGAGCGGGATTCATCACGATGACGACGCATGCACCGAATGTTAAGTTCGATCTCTCCTTCCTTCCATTCATCTCAACTTGCTTTCTGCCCAGATCAAAGATTTACAGGAGTTTCGACGAAAATACGTGTTCAATGTGGCCTATTAGAAGTGAATTGTAATTTTAGTTTAGCATTTTATTTAAAAGCATTTGGGGCTAAAAAAGGTTTTCAGGTCTCTAATTGCACCACCTGCTGGCTGAAAGGAAAACAAAAGCTGGATTTTTCCAAAGATATCTGCAGAGAGAGAGAGACATGGCACAGTGGTGAAACGAAACATCCATGATGCTATTGAAATAAAACCATAGAGCTGGCATGGCCTCACACCCAGGTTTGCATGTGATGCTTTTTAGTTTGATATTTCGATATTTCATTTCTGTGAACAACATGTTGACGATGGCACATGCTGCGTGCTGTCAAAACGTGGTTAAAAACTGTGTTTTTATGAAAGCACATCTGTAAATTGAGGTCAGGAGATTTCTATTTTTGTCAGATAAAAGCTCTTTTCAATAAGTTAATCAGTCATTAAGCTCTTTGTTGTCTAGACGGAGTTATTTCTGGGATGCACATCTCTCACATTATCATTCACAGATATGTATCTGTCTCTGATCGAACCTTCCTGCGGACCAATCTGTGCAAATGGCAACCGGTTTAACAAATGTCTTCCTGTTAAATCTTAGCTTTCTGTTATGAAACGGTCGGTTGCATTTTTAAAACCATTAAATGTTTTGGTCAAGTGAAGTGTTAAATATTGTAGACGGCGTGCAGGACTGTTTAATTACCTTGATAGAGGGCTTCTTGCTGGAAAAGCCCCTGTACCAACCTGAGGAAGATCAAAGAGCACATCAGGAACCTGATGATACAACGTACAACGTAACAAAGATTTTTTTTACCAACTAAAATCAGTTACGTTAAATGTCAGTGTGAATGTGTTGTACAATAGCTAACATAATTAAAAACAAATATATATATATATACATATTGGACTCATGTTGGCTAACGTTACCAAGCGGAACTTGCGTTAGCTAGCGGCGCTAGCTTAGATTAGCTAGACTAAAACCAAAATGAGGTTTTTGTGAGCTGAACTAGCAGTTAGCTCCTGATATCATGGGGGGAAAGTAACCTTAGTGGTCTCGCAGAATTAACATATAGACATTTTCTCTGAAAGGCTCAGTATAAACTTTCAGTGGCTTAGTGGGAACCACTGGCGGAAGTAATGGGATTACCCTACGTTACATATGAGGAACTGTTATGGTTCACTGTGAATGTCATCGGTACTTACAACAATAATACCAACATTGTGTGCAATAGTGTACTTAAGGACAGTAGAGGACATAATGGTCTGGGGCAATGTGGTCTAGAAATAAGTACGGAATTCTTTATTCAATGTGGGTATAAAAAAGACAGACAGGTAATAAGAAGCGATCTGAACGCATTTACCTTCACTCTTCTCCAAAATCTGAACAGTTTCCCCGATCTCCAACACCAGCGCCTGGCCTATTGCTGACCGGAAGTTGCAGATCACTGTGCAGGAGAGAGGGAAAAACGAGAAAACAATCACGAGACAGAATATATTAACCTCACGGCAAGTTGACTGTGGAGAATTAAAAAGAATCCATGCTTGGTTTAACCGTTGTGACCTCTGATTAAGCCCCGCGACCCCCTTACACGGATGGGTCTCCCCTCCGCTTGTGATTCGGGGTTGCGGCGGGCTTTTTAATTAGCTGTTTAATGCAAACATCTGAACACAGTGTCACACAGGAACCACTGCTTAGCAAACTGCAAACAAGCCCCCACCATCACGTGGGTAGTCATTTAATAAGCAATTAATTCTTTAAGCGGCCTGATTTTTACTTTTTTTTTTTTTTTTTTTGCAGTGGGAAGTTAATTGAACTGTCTCCTGAAATAGAGCCCACACAAACTGCTAAGCAGTAAACGCCGCTTTACCATAAGTCGGTATTAGCATAAATCTTCCACGCCGCCTGCTCTCTCTCAGCGCAGTCTTTGACCAAAGGCATAAAAAGAAGAATCACGAGACTCTGATTTGAGAACACGGTTATTCCTGCAGCGAAAGGCCTCCGCGATGGCGTCGCCTCTGTGCATCAGTGACAGCACAGTTGTCTAATGATGACGGGGCTCCAACCGGCGACTCTTTCATTCTCTAAAACATACAAACGGTGGCCCTTCAAGGAGAGTTTGGTGTGAATCATTATTCTAATGAACTAGCCGGCGGACCCAGTGAGGGGGAGGACGAGGGAGGGGGAGGAGGGGTCCGGGATTCGGCTCTGTTGTCTGTTAGACGGTAACGAGTGCTCGGGTAACTATGGCAACAGATGATCTACAAACTGGAGGGCTTTCTTCGCTGTAACTGCTCGCGGGGATTTGGGCATTTTAAAATGGCAAAGCTCATTGGCTGCCGCGTGGCTGTGGAGTTCAAGTCAAGCGCACTGGACTAGTCGGAGAGACAGATCGACTTTAAAGAGCCTTCTTGTCACATTTTCTTTCTTTTTTTTTTTTTCTGCCCCGGGGCACATTTTCCAGCCGGGGCTACGTTTTCCCCATTTGAAAGCACTGTTCTTTATTAATGGTTTCTATTTCATTTGAATTGCAAAAAACCTGCTCGCGCACGGTTGGAAAAGCTCTTTAGCGTAGGCCGCGTCAGAACAAGATGACCGTGTCATGTTTTCCAGAGAGAGAGAGAGAGAGAGACGGGCGCATCAAGCGGGCTGGTATTTCCATCGTCCACCCTCACAAAAACCCCTCACAGCTCTGTAAACTCTCTCATTGCGCCTAAAAGCTTTCTGCATTTGCATTTCCACAGACACGCACACATGGACACGGAGACAACAAAATCCCTCTCTGCACTTCAACATGCTGAACGTAGGATGTTGGAAGGCCCGACGGGGACGGGCGGTGGAAAACGTTGGCGCGTCCAGACTGTCTCTTTATTTAGTTCGTGGTGCACATGGCGTCTTACGGCCCGCTGTTGTGTAACCAGTAACTCACTGGTAGGAATTATGGGGCTTGAGCACAGGAGGGGGCCCCTGCTGTCGCCTCTCACCTTGCCATACGAGTTATTCCTCTGATATTCACCAAACTTCTTTCACCCTCCTAATAACGACCAGCACGAGATAAAATAATAATTGTAAAACGAGTTTTAAACCCCAAAAAAAACCAAACTCAACCGTGTTGATTGAATCCGGCAGTGTTGAGCTGTAAAAGGTAAATAAATAAATAACCAGTGACGACTGGAACAGAGAAATGTGGCAATTCAGAGTGTTAAAGGAGAAAGTAGTAGCTCAACGAACAGGTTTGTTAGCTTGAGTCACTTTGGAGTCCATATTTCCTGCACATCAGAAACCGCTGATAGAATCGGCACACGTGTCGCGAGAAAGACAGTTTCAGATATGAAAGACGCTCTGTTGACAGGCGTGTCTTTCTTCTCAGCATCACCTTCCGGTGGAAACATCACCACATACTGCCGTGTCTTTAGAGATGTTTTCCCTCCATGTACGTTGAAGCACACATGGCCTGGTGACCTCGTACTATACTATGGCTCCCGGGGGAGAAACACTCTGCAGGGAGCGTTGAGGTGACATCAAAAGACCTGCCAATGCAACAGAAAACACTGTGCATACGGATTAGGAAGTGTGTGTTACTGGCTCCTTGTTAAAAAAAGAGACACTGCGCTCCTCTAAAGTCTCCTTAGAAACAACCGGAGCGGAGCTGCTTCCTGCCCTTCAACGTGAGCATGAGGACCGCGAAGGTCCCGCTCGAGTAGCCCTGACCCAGATCCACCCGAGTTAAAAAACACAGATTCACACAAGCGCTCTCCGGGCTTCGCCCACTGAGTCATGTTGCTCGGCACGACTCGGGCGCACACTCACTTGCTCTGACACATTACTGCGCCTGAGTCTTGCTAACGTAGGGATTCCTGCCACAGAGGCGCAGGAGCATTTCACGGAATCTGATCCCAGATCAGAGTCACGGGAAAAAAACCCAGGCGGGAGCCAACAAAGCTGCAGGGGTACAAGCGGAGGACGGCCTCGTCATAGGACGCGATGACCACGTGGAGGCGTATGAAACAGGCGTGTTCGTGTGCTGATGGGCAGTCACGGTACAGAACGAAGGCAGCGTGGGAGCGTACGGAGCCCCACGGCGACCTCAAGGAGGCCGAAAAAACGAAACCCGCAAGGAAGCTCTTGGGTTCCATTCATCTCTGTGATCCCCACCCTCGGTCTGAAACGCCGCGCTCGGTCTTTTGTTCTCGAGGGAGGGTCGGGTCTGATCTGGTCTGATCTCTCCGGGGCTAACGGGGGCCTCGCCATGCTCGATTATCTTCACGTGCTGCCACGGACACTCGACTGTCGTGAGAGAATAGTGGTCACTGCTCCATGGGTCGACTCACAGGCAGCGCCTCCTCCAGGAATGTCAGAACAGCCAACGAGACGAGGAACATTGATGTCTGACCGATACAGATTTTATACTTTAATAACCTCTCATGCAAATCTCGCTGCCTAATATGTATCAACATGCCACAGCCTGAGGGGCGTTGAATAACATGAACACACACACACACACACACACACACACACACACACACAAAAACAACGTTGTATAACATCATTACTAGCAATCGTAATGTTGTGTTAATATTCATGTTATTCTGATGTGTTTTTATGTTATTTTGATGCTTATGCAGTAGTTTGCATGTGAGCCATGTCCTCTGGCAAAGAGATGAAGCTGATTCATTTCACTCTCCCTCAGGTACAGGCTTACAGGAGCGCTGTCCAATGAAAAAGTGCACAGAGAGTCTTGCAATATTGCTGCTAATATGAGACAAATCCATCAGTGACTCATTTGCAAATAAGAGAAATCCCAAGAAGACTAGCCAGAGGATTTATTTACTTGGTATAATATATATATATTATATATATATATATCCATATATATATCCATATATATAAATATATACATTTTTTTCAATCAAATTCAAAATATTAATTTGTATCATAAGCGTTTTACTGCAAGATGGGTATTTTTGTCTGGGTACCTTTTATGTAATAATGGATCCACCGGTGATTGATCAGGTTCTGCCACTCACAAACTAATGTGACTTCCTGCATAAAGCAACACGCTGATGAACAGGCAGCGATTCTAAGAAACGCCATTAACGTTTCATGAGGTCTCCAACTGCGTCCCCGTTTCAGACGGAGCCCGTGAAGGCGACACGGGGATAACTAACGGAAAAGGCCCACACACACACACACACACACACACACATACATTGCAGTACCATACGGAGAGGGGAGGGGGGGGGGGGTAAAATGAGTGGCGCGGGGGCTACTTTATGAAGAGAGTACAGTACGTTCTGTGTAGGTGCAGCGCGGCTCTGCTTCCGCGCGTCTTCAGCACCGCGGACAGCGCCAGGTTACTGCGCGCCGCCGCGGAAGAGACTGCGCCGAACTGTTGCTGCCCCCCCCCCCCCCACACACACACACACACACACAAACTACCCCTCTCCCCCGTTTAACACCAAATGCATTTGCTCTTCAACGCGGAATCACCTGCAGTGACTCCGCGGCGGAGGAGCTGCTCGGTGAGCCGGTGTTATGGAGGACTATCTTTGGGGGGGGGGGGGGGGGGGCTCTCATCCTGCGTCTTTATAAAACGATTGTGGTAGATTGTAACGCCTCCGAGTGTTCAGGTGTGTGTTCGTGTGTGTGTGTGTGCGCGTGCGTGCGTGCGGGGGCTGTAGAGCATCCAGACATGACTCACGGCCCCGGTGAAGAACCCTCATCAGGCCCGTGGGCTTCAGTTCATTACGACCGTGTGGCGTCTTATGACGCTTCAGCACCACCCCCACCCCACCACACCCCCCCCATGAGTAATCTGAGTGGAGAAACACTCACACTACACGTCACCACCTCTTCCCTGGGGGTCAAAGGGCGAGGGTTAGGGCTCCGTGTCTTTGCAGCAGCATTAGGGCAGTTTCCCGTCTACAGGTAATACTCCATCTTCACTCCTGCCTACACCTGTTGGAGGGGGGGGACGCAGTCACGATGCCCCCTCGTGGTTTCAATACGAATCGCCCCCCACCCCCACCATTCAGTTATGCTCGTGAAAAGAAAAGGGCTAAAATGCTCAAACTGACGCATATGGGATTGATCGACTTCTATTTCTATTTCCACACAAAACCACGGAGCTGCGCGCGGGAGCGCGGCTGGAAACAGCGCCCGCGGGTGCGAGCAGACTGCGATAGCATCTCGGAGGTGGATCATCCCACGCAATTCCCCCCCTTTCTATGCAGTGACTGCGCGTGCATATACCAGCCATTAGAAGTGTATGTTTTCTTTTTCCATCGCGTTCCCCCAAGGGGGGGGAATGGGGGGGGGGGGGGGGGCGTCAGGCCGCGGGTCGATGAGCGGACAATTTGGGTGTTTCTCGTGCAAAAGAATACTGGCATCATAACGCGGTACGACTGGAGTCAATTAAAGGAAAAACACAGACGTTAACAAAATGACAGTAAACGGTCGCTATTCACTCACCAACTGCGATCTTCTCCTCTTCGGTCGGTATCCACATGTTTGGTTATTTCTGCCCCCGGGGAGGCGCGCACATTATGTCGATATGGTGAGATCAATGCTGCTGGGGGAAAAAAAGGATGGGAGCTGAAGGCTACAGATTCTCCTCGCTGCTCCTACATGGGACTACATGTCTCCACCGGGTGTGTGCGTGCGTGCAGTGGGAGGGAGGGAGGGAGGGAGGGGGGGAGGTCCGGAGGAAGGAAGGACCATCGGAGCCTCGATGTCTCCGCTCTGTTATGTCCCCGGCGTGTGTCTCCGGTCTGATGCAGTCTCCGTGTCCACCTAACGAAACGCACACGCGCGCGCGCCGAGCAGGCAGGCAAGCGGGCACGGACGGAGCCACGCACGCACGCACGCACGCACCCAAGCGGCGAGCTGTTTTTCTGCACTCCTGCACAATAAATCTATACAAACAGCTGTTACTGCAGGCGCGCTTTAAACGAAACGGAAATGTTTCTTTTTTTTCTCCTCAAATCTGGTTCATTTGAAATTGAATCGTTATTTTCCAGCGCGCGCGCGCCCGGCTGCTGCGCGGGCTTGAACGCGCTCCGTCGGTCGGTAATTAGTCGGTAATCGGTGGCGACGTCGTTCCGCGGTCCGAGCCGTCGAACCCGCAACGTGCCGTAAGCTGCGCCATCTTCCGCCGCGGTCACATGACTCGGTTTGTCAACACCGATGCGTCGAGCATCATTTTCAAATATATGCCCCCCCCCCCCCGTCTCTCCCCCTCCCCTCCCTCCACACACACACACACACACACATAGCGTTTTGATACACCTGATCGTGTGAATGCGTCGGTGTGTGTGTGTGTGTGTGTGTGTGGTGGGGGGGGGGGGGGGGGGTGGTGTCAGGCCCGGCCATGTGGGGAAGCACCTCCTGGTTGGTGGAGTCATTTCAAAAAGAAGGAGAGCCACTACCGCCGGTGCTTTGTCACAGTGCAGTCATGCTCCCACACGGATGGGAACTATAACTCGCACAGGCCATAGCCGACACCCCCCCCCCCCCCACCCCTCTCCCCCTCCCAGGCCATAGCCGACACCCCCCCCCCCCTTCCTGGATTCGTAAAACGGTGTTTTATCAGCCTGCCTCAGAGATGCAGATCACATGAAATACACGATTGATTTATTCCACTTCCTTCACTTTAGATGAAATATCAGAGTTCAGAATTGAGTATTTCTTATACATATTTTATGTACCCCCCTCCCCTGCCCCCCCCCCCCCACACAAAGGTGTAAGTGCCTCCATCATGCTGGAAATGCAACTGTATAGTCGAATAGTGATCTGGTTATTTATTTACTTAATAACATCTTCGTGGCACTGCGAAGGGCCCGTAGGCGCCGATTGATCCGAGAAGTAACGCCGTGTATGTGAGTCACTGCTGGTAAAGGGGGTGTGGGGGGGCCGCGTGCATTACAGCGTCACTCCTGGGGAGTTCAGAGTCACCGGTGTTACATCGTCGCACGTCATAAGACGTTTCAGGAGAGTGTTCCTCCCTCCAAAGGACACCTCGATGGAAGGGATGAAGTCTTCAACTTTGATGTAGTGTGTGAGGGGGGGGGGGGGGGGGGATTTGTTCCATCATGCAACCCCCGTCTGTCAATCAAGTGGAAACTGGGGGCGGGGTTCCAGTCACACACATAAAGCCCGGAGAGTGGGAGGGGGCGTTTTTTTGTGAGCTAAATATGCATCACAGCTTATAAAAATTTGAGAGAAGGGAAAAAAAAAAAAAAAGCAAAACCCCCCCCCCCTCCAACCCCCCCCAAAGAGGCGATTGTTTTTTAAAGCGGCAGTTTGGAGCTTGGAGTAATGGAAGAATAAAAAGATGGTCCCCCCCAAGGCGCCCACTAAAGCGGGAAACGGAATTTGTTTTCCCACTTCTACAGGGGGGAGGGTATTATGAGCAGCAGAGGAGGCAATAAGAGCCCTGACCCCCCCCCCCCACCAACCAACACACACTCACTCCCCATCCATCCATCACACACACACACACACACACACACACACACACAAAAGCTCGTGTTTCCTTTAACTCCTCGTGATCATGTGTATACCAGGAGTCACTGACTATATGCCACACACACACACACCCCGACTTAACGTGCATCCGGTGACTATTTTGAGGTGTTCTATTATAAAACGAGGGGGAGGCCGCTTCTAGAAAAAAAAAGAAACACGTAGCAGCAAATCCCTGCACTGAAAATTCTACGAAAAACGTGACGCATTGAAACGCGATGAAGGCGGAATTATTGACATGCAACCGGCGTGTAGCGTGTGGTTTAAACGCTCACCGTCCCTTATTACTCTCGTAAAGCAGTGAAACGGTGACAATCCGCACGCTGTACGGACGGGATCCGACGGCTCAGTTAAAGCTAATGAATATGTATTTATTTACAGATTGATAGTTTCAATACTTGCTCTTTATAATAATGGAAATATATTCTAATCACAGTTTACAGTGCAGAGTCTAGTTTTAGTCCTGGTTGAGTTTAGTCTTTTTATCTGGAGTCCTGTTGATGCATAACTTAAAAAATAAAAAAAATACTGCAAAAAACATAAATACATACTTTCATCACCATGGCGTTACTCCTCCGGTGATCAATAGTGACTTAAAACATGTATCGGTCATTTTAAAACCCACAACTTATTGATCGTGTGTCTGCGCTCATCACTCACACATCATCAGAGGGACACAAAGCTCGTTTTCCGTACTTTATTTTTAGTAAAAATACTTTAGATACATACAAGCTGTACATAAACCATCCGGAGAAACTCGCCATCGAGGTTCTTCTCATGGAAAAAAGGGAAACAGATGCAAGGCAACAAGAAAAACAAACATGAGAAAAATCCAGACGTTCTCAAAAAAGTGTGCAAGTGAAAAGGCATTTTGTTGTTTTTTCACAATGTGTCGAAAGATCGCCGCCACCTTTGACCTCCGACGTCTCGCTTGCGAGCGCTTTTCCAGGCTCAGCGAGATCAATCTCATCGCCAAGAGTCAAGTCCTCGCTGCGCCTTCGAAGCCCCCGTGGTCCTCGGGAGGATCCGAGCGGAAAGGCGGCGTCGGTTCAGTCGGCTCAACGCGGCCCTCGGGGGAACATCGCCGGTGGCCGCCGGCGAGCGGACGCGTCGACTGTAACAAAACACTGAGTGCAAACTGTTGGCGCCTTCTTCAGCAACACGAGAGCACCGAGCCGATTTCATTCGGATCGGATCAGAAGGCAGCGTTCCCGCATGGCACTGCAGTGTGTGTGTGTGTGTGTGTGTGTTTTTGTGTCTATGGCGTTTTGGTCATTGTTTCTTTTTATTTATTTTTTTTCTCGTCAAAGTAAAACCTGAAGGCGTCTTCGACGGCGAACGTGTTTGTGCATTTAATTAGCTGCTCGATTCAAAGGCTGCATCTATTCTAGGCGGTCTGGCAACGAGAGGGCGCCGCATCCTTCACCGCACAAACGACCTGCGTCGTGAGACCCCCACCCCCCCCCCAACAAACAAACACTAATCTGTTGGCAAACAGAGGGGGGGGCGAGGTGAGCGGGTCGATACCAAATGAAGAGGTTCGCTCAAAAAAGCAGAAATGTGATAAAATACAAAACTTCCCTCCGCTGCACAACATCCTCGTCCTCAAAGACGTTTCCTGGTTTTTCCTGTTTTCGTTTGTACAAAACTACGTGGTTTTAAATCACCTTTTTTTGCCCCACAAGTATCGTCCCTTTGCTCTGAGCGCAGACGCCCCCACCACCCTTCCCGCTCCTGCAGCTCAAACCTCCGCGAGGCGGCGGAGGGTCTCGGCGGGGTCGTCCAGTTTCTCGTTCGCAGGCGCTGCCCCCTCACTCGTTCAGGGACAAGATGATGTCATCCTCCAGGTCAGAGTTGTCGGAGCTGTCTGTTTGGGCGACAGACGGACACAGATTTAGAAATGTGGGAGTTCTCAACACAGCAGCTTTCACATTCCGCTGGGAAGGAGGACGTTTCCTAGCATGAAAACACGGAAACCGGTTTAGTTGCATCACTTTACCGCCGTAAAAGAAACACAAGGACATCTTGCTTTTGTCTTGAGTGGAAAAAAAAAATCAACGTTCATTGTTGGGACAGGTGACTCTGCAGTAATCAAAAGGTGTTAATTTACATATTAAGCTCAAATTGGTAGTGATCAATTTTTTTTTTGCATTCTCTGTAGTGACCAGCAGGGGGCAGCATCCGGTCACACAACAGCAATCCCCCAGAAAAAGTAGTTTTCAACTCTTCAAGTCAAGCAAAAGATGATAAAGCCGCAGACACCGAGCAAAAAGAGACTCAGGCGGAAGTGAGACTACATATCCCAGAATGCAGTGGTCATAAAGAGAAGAACAACTCACCGTTGTCGCCGTCCTGATCGCCGTCGTCGTTGTCGGAGTCGTCCTCGTCTTCGAGGAGCCGGGACACCTCTTCGTCGGAGGGAGACAGCTCGTCGTTCCCGTCTTCGTCGTCGTCCTCGCCGCCGTTCTCCAGCTCGGCGATGAGGGGATCCGTGTCGTCAACGTCGTCGTCGTCCGAGTCGTCGTCGTCGTCGTCGTCTTCGTCCTGTTCGTCGTCCTCCTGGCGACGGAGAAAAACAGTTAAGTTGGAAACTGACAGCGGAGTCGGCGCCACACCCGGGTCGAAAAAGGACAAAGTTGGAACCTGATCCTCCTCGTCCTCCTCCTCTTCCTCGGCGAGTCTCTGGCGGCCGACCTCGTACAGCCGGCACACGGTGTCGGTGTTCACAGAGTCTTGGTTCTGTGGGACACGCCGGAGGAAAAAGACATTTCGTTCTTTCATAAGTACAAAAAAAAAAAAGGCAACGTTTAAGAGATTCCTAGAAACACAACATGATGAGAACCTCAATCACAGCGAGGTAGCAGTCTTTGGTATCAGTGCAGAGGTCAAATATGTTCCTCTTGACGTCAATAGTGGCTGGAAGAGACCAATGAACACGTATGAGTGGGACATTCTCACACCGTGCAATGAATACATAAATATTATAGCAATCAATCACGATGACAAACAGGCATTTTATTGTCAGAGTGAAAACACTTTGCTCATCTTACTCAACGTTTTTATTTGACTGTCTCACCGATGGGCTTGTAGTCCGTGGCATTGAAGGTCCTGAAGGACGAACCGAAGGGACTCTTGATCTGCATCTCCATCATGTCGTCCTCGTCGTCGGCCTGCAGCATCGCTGCGGAAGGCGACGAGAGAGAGACGGATCAAATAAAATAAAAAATAAAAAACACGCAACGGTTTGGCCGTTTTGGAGCGAGGTGGCGTGAACCAGCTGCTTCTCTCTGCTGCGAGTCCAATGCCGAGGCTTCTGACTCACACACACACACACACCTCTACAGGCACCTCACACCTCTACAAATACACACATTCTCACTTTTGCCTCTTTTTGCCCCCTGGTCCCTCAAACCGTTCACACACACTCGTGCCGACCGCGCAGCGACTCGCAGGGCCGATATGCCAAGCGCTGTGAATCACCCACAATGCATCGGCTTGCGTGTTCATTACCTCCGTAGATGACGGTGCCGTTGTTGTTGAAGACTATTCGGCACTGGTCCAGAGCGGGCACGGTGTGCAGCAGGTGGAAGGTCCTCAGGTCCCACTGAGGCTCCGGCTAAGGACCACG